GAGCTTCTGCCATCTCCTAGGGATTCAGACCCAGCCTCCCAGACCGGGGGAATCGCTCAGAAGTTTGCGAAGGCCAAAAGTGCCACGCGGTACCATCGCGTCATCGCATCTGCGCAGACTGGTCCGTGCCAGGGATTTAAAAATCCTTAGCAAGGGCCCTTCCGGGTCACCCTCTAGGTCCGGAGGCTCCGCGCCCCTCCCTGCGTCACCCGCTCCGCGCGCCCATCCCAGCTCAACCCCTCGCGCGGCCTACTCCCCTCCCAGCCCCAGAAATCTCTCGTGTTACGCGCCATTCCCCGCGGAGGCGCAGCCGCTAGCCATAGCCGCGGGGGAGACCCCACTCGAGCCCAACTCGCTCGGGCCTCCCGCGCCAGAGCCCCGGGGACGCCAATCTCTCAGTCGCTGGAGTTCCAGAGAGAGGCGAGACGCAAGGCATCCTGGGAGTTGTAGTCCTCGGTCTGTTCATTGACCAGAACCAAAGGAGCAGGGGACGCTGAGATAAACTACATTTCCCAGAGTGCCCCGCCACGGCCGTTAACCTCTGTTCGTGGCGGGCGCGTTGCTAGGAGCTGCCTCCACGCCACTTGGGGAGAAGGGCGACCGGTTTCAAGGCCGTTGGGTTTCTTCCTCTCGCCGGCCCGGGGACTGTCAGGACCTGGGTTCCAGTACCTCCTCTGAGGGCTGACCCGTGGCCGGGTGGCGGGGGTGGGGCATGAGAACTGTATTAAGACTGGAAAACTGACGTGTGAAACCATGAGCAATTACGTGTCCCACACCTCAAAGCTTAGGAAGTGACTGCGACCTACCGGCTCCATTGTGAAAATCAAAGCGATGGACGCCTGGGCGGCTCAGTCGGTCAAGCGTCCGCCTTCGGTTCAGGTCACGATCCCAGGGTCCTCGCATCAAGTTCCGCATGGTGGGCTCCCTGCTCCGTGGGAGTCTGCTTCTCCCGCTATCCCTCTCCTCCCCCCACTTGTGCTTTCTCTCAAATAATCTTTTTTTTTTTTATGATTTTATTTATTTGATAGAGATCTCAAGTAGGCAGAGAGGCAAGCAGAGAAAGAGAGGGGGAAGCAGGCCCCCTGCTCAGCAGAGAGCCAGATGGGGGGCTCCATGCGAGGTGAGATCATGACCTGAGTCAAAGGCAGAGGCTTTAACCGACTGAGCCACCCAGGCGCCCCTCAAATAATCTTTAAAAAGTAAATATCAAAGCGGTGGAGCCAGAACAGAACCCAACACTGTCACCCAATAAAGGCACATAACACATGTGTTAACCACAGGTTTTATTGAGGATTTTTTCAATTTTACAAAGGAAAAAGGTTTGGCTTACCCGCAGCCCACGCCAAGCAGGGTTGCCGGGTCACAGCTTTCCAGTCATGGTTCAGTTCTGGCCCCGAGCACCTCCTCGGAACTCGCACCCACGGACAGGTCCAGCCAGGGATGGGTAACAATACATGCTAAATGCATCTTGTCAGGTAGGAACCAAACGCAAACCCTAACAGTAAAAGGGGGAAAGGTAGCAAGGAATTATACACTCTGAAGAACACAAGTAATGTCCTTGAATCTACAGCAATTGGAAATGTTTACAAAGTAGTCGGCAGTCTGGACATTATGTGGAAGGTTATGTTTGCTCCCTGAACTGTGAATTAGTCAACAGTATTGTGGCAAAACCACCTCTTTTGGTTCAGAATTCTTAAAACCACTCCCCAATTTTTCGTGATCTTCCTAAGATAATCAATGGCCCAATTAAATGTGTTATTTAAAAAATTTTTGAGAGCAAGTGAGCAATGGCAAGGAGGAGGGTTAGAGGGAGAAGGGGACTCTCTGCTGAGCAAGGTGCCTGACGCAGTGCTCAATCCCAGGACCCGGGGATCATGACCTGGACAAAGGCAGACCCTTAGCCAACTGAGCCTCACAGATGCCCCAGTGGCCCAACTAAATTTTAAGCAAAATAAAAACAAAACAAAACAAAAAACCCTTGGACTCTAGGAATTTGCAGGTCTGCTACAGCTAACACCTGGTAACTCCAGATTCCTCATGTTTCTGTTTACCATCATGGAGCACAGGATTAGGTAGTGAGACTTTATAGTGTGTATAGCTAAAAGCAGAAGTCTACTGGTATTTTAAAATAAAAAAATCATTTCAGTCATCTACAGTGTGACTTGGTCAAATCCTCCAAGAATGTAGTAAATACTTAGCTGAAACGACCTCCGCATTATTTCACGAAAAATAATCAAAATCTTTGAGTAAGGAGAATCAACAAGACTCTTGGTCTCAGGTGTTAGAACCCATTTCCCGGCACTGCTTGATTGACGGCAACTATGACCGGGCATTCCCACCACATTTATAAAGATTAGCAGGAGTGCACACCTGCACCTTATCTCTGCCTTCCTAAAAGATGGACAGAAAGCGCTCAGAAAAGGCGGGAGGGACTGTGAGCCACAGCCATGTAAACAATTACTGTTCCCCTTGATTTTGAACGGGTCCTGTTTCTCCAGCCAAAGCCCTGAGCTGAAGAAATCCCAAGAATGAAGACCTAGCATATGTTTAGATCTGTAAAATGCCTCCAGGTATATAAAATTTGAAATTACAGGCAGGGAGTTCTCAGAAAGCATGTGAATACAGTTAATGTTGTAATTAAGTCAATGTTCTGAAGATAAGCGGATACTTAGCACTGCTATGTTCTTAAGCCAAGAACATGAAAGGCCCCAAAGGCTTTGGAACCAACTGTGCTTTGAGGCCCTGATGTCCAAACGCTGAACTACTCCTCTGTACCGATCCAGTACGGCACGAAGCAGAGCTCCGAACACTTCAGGAAGATCAACCTTCATCCACGACAAATAGCAAAATCCTACTAAACCTCGAAATTCCGAGTTTCTGTTCAGAACACTTAAAAAAAAAAAAGGCTTCTATCAGTATCTAATAGAAAAAAATCTCTCTTAGCATTTTATCATTTTAGAGAAGAGTAGGTTGAGTACTTTTTGTGCAAATGGCTCACAAAAGAACCAAACTCACCGGCAACAGAGACCTGGCTTCTTTGGAAGATCAGACAGGACCTGCTGTCAGGCCCTTGGGCCTCCACTGCGGAGAGCGAAGTTCATGTTGCCTGCACCTGGTAACTTCGTAAACCTGGACCTTAAAATTCTTCGTAACTTTAATTATGTGGCATTCTCTTTTCCTTGTTATAGTACAAATTAAGAACGTCTTACTATATTCTTAGGTTACAGTGAATAAAGTACAAGACAAAACCCCAATGTTAATAAAACCAGTATCAAATACCAGATTTTGCTTTTAAATACTCCTCCAGGTGCTGGACTGAAGGCGGCTGGGCAGTGTTCACAACCTGCTCACACCCACCGGGCGCCAGCCCAGGCGTCTGCAGCTGCATCAGGTAGGTGGGGTAGCAGATCCCAACTACAGATGTTTGTCTGGGAATAAGGTATTTAGCCACTAATTCTAAAGCAATTCTACATTTAACAGATCAATGTTATGCATCTTACTCTCCATTTCCAAGAATCTAAACTATGGTCCAGATATATCTCAAAGAAATGAACAGAGTGCTTGCTACTTCAATCTTAAAAAAATAATTCCCAGTCAGCTCTCTTGGTGGAAGGATTAAGGCTGAGAGGCCAACAAGTATTCTGACCGTGAGAGTCTCATATAACTGGTTCCACTGCGATAGATTTTATGCTGGGTCCCAAGGTAGGAATGGCATTTCCCCTGAATTATACCACATTCTCCAGACCGATTCTCACTGGTTTCGTGAGACAGATGTCACAGGTACAGTTAACAGGTTAAAAAAAACAGAACAAAACAAGTGATGCTGTTTTACTTCGATTTTAAGAAAAAACTTCATTAGGAAGTACGTGTTTAACCTTTAAATGTAGAATGATTGAGCTGAAATCTAATTTACACAAAGAACAATATCACAATTCAGATCAAAGTCCTAGAAACAGACTGAAAACAAAGCCCATGTATAGTAAGAAAGACATTCTGTGAAATTTGCATTTATCCATTAGCCATAGTTTTGATGATTATATGGATTCGATGATTTATATCCCCAAACCAGACGACATGGTTTGTCACAGGAGTTTTCTGTGGTACTCCTGGGCAGAGGTGGCCGGAGGGTCTACCTTCGCACTGCCAGACACTGTGACCTCCAAGCATTCAAACGGTTTATGACAATGGCAGAATATAGAAAATCTGGATTGTTCCAAAATATCCAGTGATAGGGACACCACAGTCAGAGTAACCGCAACTGGGAGAGCTCTCCCTATACTCCTTCTACCACTAAGGAGCTGTGACTCCTTTTCCTTTCTTAGCATCTCGTTCAGGACAGGGAGGGGGACGGAGATGCATCGCCACTGCTGGAGATGCCATCAGTGGCCAAGGGTCAAAACTGCAGAGATAATTTTGCTTCCTGCCCTTTCCCGAGAGTCTGGGACAAAGCGAGCGGTTGTGCCACCACACCGACGACTTAGGGATCCCTCAAATGGAAGACTGATTTCTAATGACATGGGACAGTGACCCTAGGCGAGGCCTGTGCTGAAGAGCTCCGCGTGCCGGGAAGATGCTACCATGACCAGAGGTGGGAGCAACAGGCTGGCAAAGAGGGGCAAAGGGCTGGAGTCGTGTCAGTGGCACACATTTCACTCGCACTCAAGTTTCCTGATTCGCGTCTTTCCCCAAACCCCTTCTCTTCGGTCCTGCTGCTGAGCCTGGGCCCACGGCAGGAGTGGTAGGACATTTAGCAGAAAAGGTGGGAAGGGCTTTACCCCCCATATAAAATACCTTTGCTTAAAAACACTTATATGCCCAGTGATTAGCGCTTAAGAGGTGAAAATAATTAACTACTCAGTAGTTAAAGTCTACGGATTATCCAAGGTCAGGGCCTACTGGGGTCAGCAGCACTACAGATGGAAGTCACGCTGTATCTCTTAAAGCTCTTTCTGGGGCTTGACAGGCCTCTTGCCGTGTTAAGTGCACTTCAAACACATCTGGTTTTTTTTTTTTCATTTAATCTCTGAAATCTGTTCATTTTTCTTCTTCATTTATCAAAAGAGGAAAGGGCTCAATTTATCATTTGCTCTAGAGCTCTCCGAGTCTGGTAAAGATTCCAAGCAGATTTGCATAACAAGTGTTAAGGGGTGTTGAGTCCAGCTGCTTCCTGGAGCGAGTGGAACTTGTCCCCACGACCCTTCAGAGCTTGGACTGCAGTGGCTTCAGGTACTTGTAGTAAGACTCATGGACCTGCAGGGAAGGGCGAGAACAGTGGCAGTGAGGAGGGGCTGCAGCGTAAACCAGCGCACTTTCACCCGAGAAGGTTGAGAGACACGTACTGAGCTATCCACGGATACAGTGATCTGCTGTCTTGCATTTGTCTCACCACAGTTCCCAGGGGAGATGCAGGGGAGGGGAGTGTTCAAGTGAAACACAATGGCCAGGAGACTAGTCACTGAGGTGTGACAAAGGGTACACGGGGGTTGTAGGACAGTATTCCATTTTTGTATATGTTTGAACGTGTCCAATAATTTTTTTTTAAGATTTTATTTGGTAGAGAGAGACAGCAAGAGAAGGAACACAAGCAGGGGGAATGGGAGAAGGAGAAGCAGGCTTCCCACCGAGCAGAAAGCCCGATGCGGGATTTGATTCTAGGACCCTGTGACCATGACCTGAGCCGAAAGCAGACACACAACGACTGAGCCACCCAGGCGCCCCTGTCCGACAGTTATTAAACAGTCAAGGAGATGAAAGACCTGTGACCTATAGGAACAACCCAGTTCCCTTCTGAATCTGTTCCTCAAAAAAGGGACTGTCCAAAGAGGCCACAGGAGCTTCCAGAACTTTCACAGAGGACTCACCTCTGAGGTCTTTCCTGCCATAATATTTAAATGGAGAATTTCAAAAGGTGAAAACACACTGTTTTTTGTACCTCTGATTTGTTCAGTGGGGATTTCTTGGCCCACTCAAACAAATTTTCATACACGTTCCCATCGTAACGGCCAAGCACAGAGCCGAGTGTCACATCCTGAAAATCAAACGCGTCCACCAGAGGAACAGCGTCTCGGCGAATTGCAGTCAGCAACTCCTTTATGCGCTGATCTACTTGGGTAATTTGAGACTCTGTCATGATGCTTCCCTAGAAAAGATAAAATAAGCAAACAAACAAAGATACACATATAAAGATAGACATTCACAGACATGTGCACACACACAACTATAGAGTAGACCACAGTTACTTTTCTACCAAAAAAAAAAAAAAAAAAAAAAAGGGACTTAAATTCAGAAAATACTCACCTGAAGAAAATCCCCTGCCTTCTGACTGATTCCATAGAGACAATACAAGAGACATAAATTCCTTAAGACAGCGTGGACAGATTTATCTTGAATTTTGAGGAGTTTTTCTGAGAAGAGCTTAACTGCCACATAGTGGCAATGTGCCTAGATAAAAAGAAAACGCCAGAGAGCCTTTGGAAAAGATTCAGCACACAGCAACGAGGGTTTCTGCACTAAGAAAATGGGCTGGGGGGGAGGGGGTGCTGTGAAGGCTGGAGAGGGAGAGAGGGAAGAAGAAAGACAGGGAGAGGGAGAGCTACCACTGACCTCGCTGGCTCGAACAAGGTCCACGGAGGTTAGGTTCCACGCTACCTCCTTGCTTTCTCGCCGAATCGCTTCATTTTGAAGGTTTTTTGCAGCAATTTCTACCAATCTGTTAAGAAATGAGAGAAAACTGGAGCTTGCAGGAAATGCTGAGCAGGACTCGGGCTTCCCGCTCTTCCGTCAGGCCCCAGCCCCCAGAGGCCCCCCGGCGGCCGACCCCAGCTCCCGGGGCAGGTGGGGGCGCTAACCTGGCCGCACGAAGCTTGTAGGCTTCCGTCAGGCTGTCAGGGCTGTCGATGTCCACCACGGTCGGCCACACCGCCACCTGCCGCGGCTGGATGCGCTGGGTGGGCAGGTCATTCAGGTACGACACCATGCCGCCCACCAGCTTCCCTGAGTGCACCTGGTCGTGACTTTTCATCAGGAACCTAGAAACCACCAGGACACGTGCTCTCAGTACCTACGCTTCTCAGCAGAGACACTCTTGCGACGACTTTAAGTAATGCGACAGGTGTCTCGTACTTGCTCGGCCGCCCACAGGGTAACGCCGGCGGGTGAGATGGAGGCAAAACCACCTTTCTCAGGAACAAACGTAACATGAAGCGCAAACATGGGAACAGGAACTGACGAAGAGGACTCAAACATTCTTAGAGAGAGAGAGGCAGAGAGAGAGAGAGCACACGCGTGCAGGCAGAGGCAACGGCAGAGGGAGAGGGAGAGAGAATCCCAAGCAGACTCCACACTGGGTGCGGAGCCTGGCACCAGGCTCAATCCCGGGACCCGGAGACCACGACCTGGGCCGAAACCAAGAGTCGGACACTTAACGGACAGAGCCGCGCGGGCGCCCCTCTAACGCCGTAACAACAGCTAAAGCACAGAGCGGGTTCTCACCTCGCCGTCTGCAGCATCATGACAGTGTTCTCGCCCTCAAAGGTGCAGGTGGGGGTAAAAGTGACGTAGATATTTGGAAGGCCGCTGCAGTGAGAGTAGCCGTGCCCACCACACGCCATCCGACAGGCTTCGATAGCGGCATTCGTTGTCCAGGAGGTGAAAGCCTTCAGGCCAGCGACGAGGGCGTGGAGCTGAGGGGAAAGCGAGGCTGTCAGGGAGCAGGGGGCGCCCCCGGTCCGAGCCGCCCCAGGAAGCCCTCCCTTCCTCACCGGACAGTGCCGGCCACGCGCTCCATCCCTTGGAACGCGTGCAAACTGGAGCACGGCCGTCTCAATGGCCTGAATTTGTATTGTTTCCCACACTCCCTTCCACCATGTTCCACTTGGCAAAAAAGTCACCACTCATGTTTCTTTGATTAATAAACCACCACCATGGTATAGTGCTTCTGAAACTTAAAAACAAAACCCACATATCTTCTTATCTGATTCACTTTCAATGAAAAAAGTGGCTGTATCTTTTGAGAACATGTGGATTCTTCTCAAGAAAGCCCTCCATGTAGTTTTCCCCGGACGTTATCCAACCAGCGAGTATCAAACAGAAGGGAGCCCACAAGGGAATGAGAAAACACATACCTCGGGCAGTTCACTTAGATCCCCTTGGCCAATACCCTCATTAATCCGATGGTAGGTCTCCTTCACGTATGCGCCCACAAATTGGAAGGCATAGGCAGTGGCCAGGAGTGGGAAGAGTTTATACTGCTGGGTCTGAAAATCCAAAATCTGTGGTTCTGGTTCACTAAAGGACACAGAAGAAACAAAAGTAAACATTGACACGGAACTTAATATGCACCAGATTCGGGTCTACACACTTCGACATACTGAATAACATTCTCCCCATTCCACCGAGGGGAAAACAAGAGGTTAAGAACCTGAGGTCACACAGCCAGTATGTGGCGGATCCTCTCTCAACTGAAATCTAGGTTATCTGGCTACAGAAAACCATGTTCTCAACTACCTTGTTGAACTGCCTAGGCAGATGAAATTTTCCGGCTGTGAAGTTCATATCCATCCTCGTCTTTGCAGTGTGACGAAGGAAACTATCACACGGCAACATTCAAAAATCAGTTAACTTCCCAGAAGGAAAGCAATGATAAAGAAGTCTACCACACTAGATGGCTGCATAAACTATTTTAACCACAATTCTGGAAAAGACCCAATGCACGGAGTTAACTATCTGACATCTAAGAAGGTCAGCTCTTACCGATTTCGTTATTCCTTCAATAGGAGTTAAAAAGGTCATCAGGGAGTCGGGCTCAAGTGAAAGGCAGTAAGACTACACTATGGCTATGAACACAATCGGAGTCCCATTCATGCCCCTCCCACCATTCAGGACTTTCAAACTGCCTTTAGTGTTCTAAACATTTCATTTTTTTGTTTAAAGATTTTATTATTTATTTGAGAGAGAGAGAGCAAGCGTGAGCATGTGCGCACACAAGCAGGGGAAAAGGGAGAAGCAGGTTCCACGCTGAGCAGAGAGCCCAACACGCGGCTCGATCCCACAGTCTGGGATCTTGAGCTGAGCTGAAGGCTGACAGCCAACTGAGCCACCCGGGCACCTCTAAACATTTCATTTATAGAGTTCAAGTAATACGACTGATTTTCTTGGTTAAAAATAATAAGGTGGATACCCTCATCTTTCTACTTCAGAAAAGGCAGTCTGGTTTCTAAGGAGCAGACCCAGCACACTGCCCCCTTGGCTGATTTTGCATGGCCAACACACAGTCTCGAGATCACATTTGGGGATTTTGATATTGGAATGGGGCCGACGGAGGGGCTCTTCAGCACTGAGCCCACCTCAGATGCCTCCCTTACCCTGGCTTGATTTCAGACTGGTGCCTCACAGCGCTATACCGGATAGCAATTGTGCAGGCCTTGGACAGGGACCGAGCGGCTTCTCCCACGAGGAACGACCTCACAAACACCATGGTCCCGTAGGTCAGCTTGTTACTCACAGGCTTCACGTACGTGCCATCAGGCTTCACCTGGACAAAGAACGTGGGACTGATGCTTCCTTCCGTTAAACTCGAGTGGCAGTCTGTGCTCATGATTCTCAAAGGGCGGTCCCCAAAACGGCAGCATCTCCTGGGAACTTGCTAGAAACACAAAATCTCATCCCCACCCTGACCTACTGGACACAGCCCTCCAGGTGGTTCTAAAGCATGCTAAAGTATGAGACTCACTGGTTTAATAAACTAGAATATGTTCTTCATACCTGCCAACTGCTTTTGATTTCACTCTCATTAAGGAAAGCAGCACCAGAAGTAAAAACATGTTACTACTTTCTAAAAGAACAGACCCTTGCAACCCCGTGGTGACCGACAGCCACCGACCGAAACCCCATGTCGGACACCTCTGCTTCGCCAACATACCTGGGCGTACTTCATCAGCATGTTTTCTCTGGGAATACGGTAATTGTCCATCTTCAGGTAGCCGTTGTCCATCTCATCATAGCCAAATTTGGGCCCGATGTCTCCCACGGTAATACCTACCACAGATGAAAGGCAATCACAAGGTGTTCATGCTCCGGCAATTCCAGGCTTGCCTGGCCTCTCTCGTTGTGTTACGCTTTTTGCAGAAGAACGTCATCAGTTTAGTTTCGCAACTCAACAGCAGACGAACGATTCTAACCTGGCAAAGGCTTATGTGTCCCAATTTCACGAATGGGTACGATGAAGGCGTGTAACCCGTAGCACTTCCCCTTAGTGATGAGTTGGGCAAGAACTATTGCATGATTCGAGGTCTTTCCAACTGTAACATCAGAAAGAACAGGAGACAGAAGTGAGCAAACTTTCTTACAGCTTTCAAAGGACAAAATAAAAGATGGGGGAAACCGTACGTAAAAACCAGCCTCCATCGATAAAGTGGACCCAAGAAGCTTCTGACAGTACCACACCCAGTTTTCAGAAAGAAATTCACTTAAGCTGATAGCCGTTAAAATGTACCGAATTTTGGCAAAGCAATCCTTCATTCTATATATATAAAAGCTTTTATACTCACTTTACGGAGACATTATGGACCTGTAGTATTTGTAAGTTTAAGGCGTACAGCTTGTTGATTCTCTAGTAATCCTTCATTAAAAAAAAAAACTTTAGGGGCTGCCTGGGTGGCTCAGTAGGTTAAGCCTCTGCCTTCACCTCAGGTTTGATCTCAGAGTCCTGGCATCGAGTCCCACATTGGGCTCTCTGCTAGGCAGGGAGCCTGCTTCCTCCTCACTCTCTCTCTCTTTCTCTACTTGTGATCTCTCTCTGTCAAATAAATAAAATCTTAAAAAAAAAAAAAAAACCTTTACTAAAAAATTTAATTAAGAAGACTTTACCTTCTTTTCTACTTATCTCTCATTCATTTACATGACATTTTTTTTAGGATAACCATAAGAACATTAATTTATTTCCTTTCCCTCCCTTAATGAAGTGCTTTCCGAGACAGTGGCCACTAGCCACAAGTGGCTGTTTACATTTAAACTACTTACAACCACACAAGGAATACGAAGCTGGTTTAAATGGCGACTAAGGAAACTGCTAATGAGGGGAATGCTCAGAGGAAAACTTAAAAGAGAGTTAAGACAGCGTCTTCCTGCGCCTGTAAGTGGAGGAAGGTCTACAACAGGCACCACAAGAGGCTGTTGTCGGCCCTGAAGAGTCTGAGACATCAGTGTTTCCCGCATCCCGAAATGATATTCTCATACAAACGAAACACTTGCACTTATAATTAATGATTAATTATAATTATTATAATTATTGTATAAATCTTGTAGTAACTCTTCAAAACACCCAATAAATGCCAAGAAATTCACATACGTCCACCAGGCCACCACTTGATGGAGGTCACGGTAGGGCTGTTGAGAATGAACTCCTGAGTTTCAGGGTCGTAAGTGGCTGTGGTTTCCAAGCCTCGGAGGTGAGTTCCTAAGGAAATAAGTTACATTCACCTTGGCTAAAATATGGGAACAAACAAGCACAGGGTAAAATCTCCTGCCCCGTCCTTTCAGCTCTATTATCTCAGAGAACAACAAAATCTAACGACTAGAAGACATTTGTAGATAAGCTACAAATAGTTAATAACCAAGATACATACTTCCCTATACTATTTTTTTTTTTTTTTAAGTAAACCCAGTTGGGGCTTGAACTCATGACCCTGTGATCAAGAGTCACATGCTCTACCCACTGAGCCAGTGCCCCATAATCTCTATACTCAAACCCGGCAGTTCCTATCAAGGGAAAACAAATGTCAAGCATGTTCTATCTGTGTACTTCAGTTAATGCACATCTATTTAGATCAAAAGAAAATGTAAAGGCAGTTTAGAATCTTATTTTCACAAGGTCCTAGGATAGGAACGTAACAGGAGAGGAACATAACTGCCTTTCTAAAAATAACATCTCTAAGTTTAAGCGTGCCAATTTCAACCCATGTACGCTGTCTACACACCAGTTCAACACCCTGGGCTTCTCTGTTTACAAAAAGACTAAGATAACTGGTGACAGAAAGAGACTCCAGCCAAAGTTCTCATAAATTAAAGACTCAGAGTGATTGCTAGAATGGAAAATAAGAACTTTAAAAAGATATAACCGCCATGGGGAAAAGAGACCTGGAACAGTGACTTTTTTTTTTTCTTTTTTGATTTCTAAAAGTCTGATAATAAGGTCTGAATGCACTCTGTGATATCCAATGTCAGGCCTTAACTTTGACCCTGGCTGGTTCACTGCTGTCGGTAGGAAGAGCTCCCAGTCTCATGTTGACTGGAGATGGACAGGATTCATGCTCTAAATCCTAATACAAATGCGCCAAAATTCTTTGAAAACAGTTACAGAAAAATGTTCTAAGTGATACTTCCTCTAATAATACTATCCTGAAGCAAATGCTGAGAACCTTTTCCCAAACTGCTTAGGTAACTCCAGACCTCATTAAAAACTTAAACTTTGGAACATGTAGAAATTTCCAAGTAGAGGAACAGAAATGATCACTTCATGTGTGATCCACAACCTTCTCCAGTACATGTGAGAACCAAGGAACCAGACACTTTCGGCAAAGAAGTTTTTATAGGAAAAGAAGTAACAGAATAATAGAACAGATAATGACAAAATGTTTCCAAATGCACAATGGACTGGGTCTTGTGAGAATCCTGTAAATTACAACTTTGCAGCAAGAGCCAAATTAGCTATACAATTAAGATAAAGTTGCAGAGAAATGAACACGTAGCAAATATACATTACATATGTATAATGTATACATGTATACATTATACATGTATACAAATACACATCGGTTGTTGTGAAACCTCAAAGTCGGAAAAGAGAAGATGGAAGGAAATGAACAGCAAACAGAGACACCAATTCAGACCAGATTAACAGGGACAGCCACTCCCTCCAAAACCAACTGCCTGGAATTGAGGCTTATCTTTTTTTTTTTTTTTTCCCAATAATCTTTGGCCAAGCTGCCTTCAGAACATGATTGAATTTACTGAATCAAGGCACAAAAAAGATCAAGGTATAAAACGTTCACATTATGGTAATATAAGCCACTCATTTCCCTCAAGCAAGTCAGAGAGCACCAGCACTACTGATCTGTGCTTCTGGAATCTGGGCACACTCATTAAGGTGTCCGGAGGAAAGGTAATCAGACAGCGATGGAGAAAGATGGGTTCGGATGCTACATACACCTAATTCTACACAACTCCAAGGAACTTGGAAAACCACTCAGTAAATAAATCCTGACTCATAATTCTTGACCCCCAGAGAGGAACCATGAAAAAGAATAATCAGCATAGTTCTGTGGTAACATAACCTTTATTTTCCACTGACCAAAGCCATGTCAACGCCAAGACTCGCGTGTGCGGAAACCCTGGCCTCTGTGGGGAGATGAGGGCACGCGGATGCGCCCGTGCTACCCGCGAGGGGCAGTCCACATACATACCTAAGCCTGCAGAGCCCCGCCCAGCCCCGAAGGTAGACTGAACGCACCGTACCATGGCCCATCTCTGTCTGGGCATAAGTGCCAATGATCTCCAAGTTCCAGGCGGGAATGAAGAAGCGTTCCTGCTGCTCCACGGTCGCCTGGTGGAGTAAAGTGGGCAAGAACATGCCCAAGTGGAGATCCAGAGGCTCAGGCCGCCCTCGGTGCACAAAACTTCAAAGCAACACCAAGGACGGGCATTTGAGAGAAGATCATCAGGTGTGAGAGAAACGGCAACGTGAACAGAGTCAGGGGAAGGAGAAAAAAAACCTTCTGTAAGTATGAATTAGTTGGGTGGACATCATCACGGGTGGGAGCGCTGCCCCTGTCTGTATGACTTTCATCAACTCTTGGCAAATCTCATTTTTCTTAAGCTGGCGAGAAGTCTGTTCTTCCGCGGCTCAGCTCTGACAATCGGTCTTGGCGAGCACTGGCTGCCCATTCCGAAGCCTGTGCCGCAAAAATGTGCGAGGCAGGGAGAGGAATCCAGCCTTGCAATTAAAGCAAAGGCAATAAAAAATCTGAAGCGGTTGTATGGGATGGAGAATTTAAGTTGTACAATGATTTAATCTGATGAGGTGAGATGGGGGAACTGTTCTCTCAAACGGACAAATGCTCCCCTAGACAAAAGGCTTTTCTAGAAGCAATTTCAATTGCTTCTAGGCTGGAATCCTTCATGTGTGTCCATAAAACCACCAGCAAAGCCACATTCCTAACAACCAGCAAAGCCACATTCCTTACATAAATCTGTTTTTTTTCTTAATCTGGTTGTTTCATTCAGGTTCATCACAAATATCCAGCCATGCCCTGTTGAAACAATTTAATGCAAAAATTGGCAGTGCTCCTCACCCAGTGATTAATATCAGAAATTAAAAAAGACATGCAATTTCTAGGAAAAGACCATAATTACAAATAACATATTCATGCATAACAAGCCAATTATATGGGAATTATCATTACTGATAATAAACACCTTAGTTTTAGTAACTCTGAATCCATTTATTTATTTATTTACGACTGAGCCAGACAGGTGCCCATGAATCCACTTTCTTCTTCTTCTTTTTTTTTTTTTTAAAGATTTTATTTATTTATTTGACAGAGATCACAAGCAGGCAGAGAGGCAGGCAGAGAGAGAGAGGGAGAAGCAAGCTCCTTGCTGAGCAGAAAGTCCGATGCGGGGCTCGATCCCAGGACCGTGAGATCATGACCTGAGCCGAAGGCAGAGGCTTTAACCCACTAAGCCACCCAGGCGCCCCCTGAATCCACTTTCTAAAGTCATTCTTTTCCACTTAAAACTTGCAGATGCCTTAGACTTCTGTGTGAATTACTTTCTAGTAGGAAATAGATTGAAATGTCTTCGTTATCTTGTCACATTACTGGAATCCCACTGAACTTCCAGATCTAGCTTAACCGACTCAATACTGCTCCTTATTATTCTCTTTAATTATCTTAGAAATTAGCCTATGCGACCTTTCAGTTTTAAAACCTTTCAAGTTTGGGGCGCCTGGGTGGCTCAGTGGGTTAAAGCCTCTGCCTTCGACGCAGGTCATGATCCCAGGGTTCTGGGATCGAGCCACACATGGGACTCTCTGCTCAGCGGGAAGCCTGCTTCCTCCTCTCTGTCTGCCTGCTTGTGATCTCTGTCAAATAAATAAATAAAATCTTTTTAAAAAACCCAAAACCAAAAAACCCTCTCACTTTGTCCAGAAAGGAAGAAGGAAAATAACGGTGGAGCACTGGCTACTCGCGGGAGGGCTGATCAGCTCTGTCTTCTGATTGCAATGGTTGCTTTGTTACCCAATCACAGAAAAATCAAAGGTTGTGTGACCCACTTTTTTTAAAAAATTAGGCTGAGGTGAGGGAAGTGCTTTCAGATCAGGAAGATAATGGCAGAAGGAGGACAAGAATCCCACCACCTCATCACATCTTCTGGTTGTGGAAATTCTCGTACAAGTGCAGCCAGGACCCAGCACTATGCGGAGGACACCAGAGACACCCAGGAGAGCTGGCCGCAGATCTGCGCTCTCTGCCAGTGGCAAAGGCAAGTCCCCGTAACACCTTAGCACTGGTGGAAACTGCGGGGGGAGGCCCACAGAACCTCTCTGTACTACTTCTGCAACTTCCTATGGATTTATAAGCTTTTCAGAATAAAGAGTTAGAAACAGTGGAAACCCTCCAGAAAAACACAATCGCGTGATGAGAGAGTACTTTCCCTCACAAGGAGGAATGCCTTTGCCTCCAGGTTTTAAAAGAACGGTGCCTAGGAAGAAAAATCAGCATACACCTGGGACCTGATAGGAGGAAACTGGTGGAACCAGGACTGACCCCTGCGGCCTAGGACCTGCCACTTTCAGTGCTGAAAGCCTAGTTGGCATTGCCAGAACCCAGAGCAATTCCTGGGGAGGGACGGGCCACTCGGAAGCAGTCCCCAGATCTACAGGAGGGGGTCTACATCAATGTGCTGGATAACGGAAAAACCAATGGCAGTGTTACCACAAAACACACAGAATAGGGCAGGGGAAACTACTGTAATCAGAAACCGCTCTGAGAATGAAGAACGTTTTTAGGAGAAAAAGATCTCTTGTGACCAGGGTAAGGATTATGCATAAGTGGATGAAATTTAGACATGTTACAAGGGGAAAGTGACCTGGATAGTTTTTTTGACTTAAATCAAGTATTTGTTGTAAAAAGTTGGTTATGCATGATAAAGATTATATATTATTTTTAAATCCTTTATTTTAAAATCACAAAGCTCCAACATTTTACTTTGATGAAGTGCTACCGTTAATCTTTTTAAAACCCTAACACTGAAAGGCCTTTCCAGTCTCTCCCTCTACACGACCTAGGGCTGGCAGCCAATGCTGAGGACAAAATGATTAGATTAATAATACATTAAAAAAGGAAGGACTTAAAATAGCATCTCTGTGGGCAGCATGATTATAATCCTAGGAATCAACAACAAAATACCACTGATAATAAATTTAGAAAAGCTGTACGCTCTAAGGAAAAGAAAAAATCACTGCATTCTTACCCATCAGGACGCTTTAAGCAGAAACCTCAGTAAAGAGAAAAGCAATTTACAAACACAACAAAATATTTAAAATCTGTTACATAACTTTGCTCAGGATATTAAAGATTTAACTAGGAAAAAAAATCAATACCTAATAGGATGAATAAAAGAAGTTATACCTAACAGGAAAGAAATTGCTAATTCCTAGGTCAAAAAGTCAGTCCTTTATTATAATAAAGATAATACTTCCCAAGAAATACAAGGATTTAATGTAACACAGATTTGAAATTCCTGAAGAATATAATTTAGAATTTAACAAATTAAGATTGGATTTTGCCTAGAAGAGTAAATATACAAGAACACCAAATTATGAGGGTCTTAAAATATAACAGGAGGCTTATCCTATCAGATTTTTAAATATCTTGCAAAGCAACAACGAACCAATGTTTATGATGTTAGGAGAAAAACAAAGGGACTAATAAATATATGTTAAGGTTCCAGAAATAAACTGAAACTATTAATAAAACTCTAAGAAGAACTGGAAAGAACAACGGGGAAAAAAACTACTAGCTAATAAACATAAAAATGGCAAGGGATTCATTCATCATTCTACACCATATACAAGTCAAAGCATTAAACATAAATTGAACAAAAAGACTGGAAGAAAATAAGAGAATAATTATCCAAGATATGAAGAAAAAAAATGTGTACCTATTCAGAGAAGGATGCATTCTATACGTAAGGCCAAAACGTTTAACAAAACAGAAGGCAAAAGAAAAAATACTTGAAGCATCCAACATAATCATGTAAGATCAATGTACAGATTCTATCCAATCAACACACAAAGGAGAAAAACTCAGTTTATACACAGGAAATACAAACAGTAAGCCATCATGTCCAGGCTCGCTGGCATTGGAAAATGAAAACTTTAACTCTTAGATATGTATTAAAGTAGCAAAAAACATTAAAGAAACCACATTGATGGGGCTTCTGGAGACAGAGCACACTAATAATTTGCTAAATACACTATAAACCAGTTCTGTGTTTCCAGGAGTCTTAAACTAAGCAACAAAAGCTATTGAATGGTCCCTCCTTTCAATGCAGTAATTTACTTCTGAGAAAGTTATTCTGAAGGCATAACCCCAAAGGCCCTGGTTTTTGCAGAGTTTATATTGTTACAAACAATCATCGTGGGGAATTAGAAGAGGCTCCAGACCTAGGGAGCGAGCCGCATCGGTTCCAACGGGGAAGAGACTCAGTGGGAAGGAAGAGGACAGGAGACAGAGAAGTGAAAATACGGGGGAGAAAGACTAGTGATGGGCACAACCACGTTCACTATCTATTTCTCAAGTTCCAAAGGAAGAGAGTGCGTTAGTTCCTATCTGAGTTCTGCACCAATCTGCAAGGAAGGTAACTGGGTATTGCAGAAGCTCTATTTTCTTGGATGACAACAGCAGAAAACAAAGGAAGGAGAATTGCCATAAGGTGGCCAAGAACTTGAAGTGACCACATACCTGTGAAGACCAAGCGTACTACCTGCTTTGGGACCTGGAGAAATGCAGGGTCAGGAGGGTTCCTGCTGGGCCACGCTCCACAGACCATCCCTTCGGCACCAGAACCCCCAGGAGAGGGCGGCACCCCTGAGCCCAGACCTCTGCCCTGGAGTAAGGAAGGCTCACGGGCCCTGCGGGTGTCGCAGTTTGTGGGCCTCTACAGACAGGTGAGTATTTACAGGAGGGACGAGAGAAAGCAGGTGATGGAGATGTTGTGCAGGGGACTGAATTTTAAGACTCTTCAGGATCCTGGAAGGCGCTGAAGCAGGGCTGTCTCCTCAATCCCAGCAGCATCCTAGAGCTGAGAGAATCCCACCTTGAAGGCAGAGCCAATTCCGTGACGCATGAGGTAACCACTGTTGGCCGGTCAACATTCTGGTCTTCAGATCGAACCGTCCACCGTCCATCTGCACGAGTCGCTCTATTTCTAGTCTCTCTGATGTCAAAGGACTGATTGTTCTACACAAGGCTGCACTGTCACAGGATGCGAACTCACCGACAGACTGACTGGTGCCCCCTGGGAAAAGGACAGTGGTGGGCGAAGCCCAACAAACCCCAGTGTGAACCGACAAGGCCCCAGCGGGAAACAAGACCTAATGTCACAACTCTGTTCTCGAAAATGCAAGAGATTAACACAAAGTTGGTTCAAGTACAAGAAATTACCCGAAAGAGAGAAGCAATAAGGGAAAGAAAACTCACAAAAAATGCCAACTCACCCAGAACAACATAGGACCTCAGCCCAATTTCTGGGCTCCTCAGACCAGAAACTTCAAGTCCTCATTTCTTCCTCTCCTTCAAAATTTAGGGCAAATATGCATTTACAACGTACTTTATAGAAGCGGAAGGGTTAGACCAGAGAGACACACATATCAAACCCATTTAGCCTTAGAAAAATTTAGATCTTTATGCTCCCTATGAATAGCGTGGGCTATAAGTCAAAGACATTCCACAAGGATGCATACTTAAACAAAAGAAGGGTTGTGTACCACAAAGCTATTTCAAGATTACAAAACACACACACATACACACACACACTCCCTCCCCTTTCCCCCCCAGCCCCCAGCCCCTATCCCCCAGACAGGAAGACCTGGATAATGCCACATTCCTTCCCTTAGGAAACCTTTCTTCAGGCTGCTTATTTCAGTATCGACTCTCCTGAAGCCGAAATGCTGGGTTTCCGGCAAGGTGTTTGTAAGACAACATCACAACCAGAATCCGCAGTTCTCATGGGGATTATGATAAAGAACATTTCCTTAAGCCATTTCACCAAACCCAAAAGCACCAAATCAAACACAAAAATGAAGTTTTCATGCTATTTGCGTCTCCTCCTCTCCTTATTTACATAATGGTGGCCTTACGATAAATTAAGGAATGACACTAGGCAGCTAAAATCTGAAACCCCCAAACCTCCCAATGGCCTTGTCTGTGAAAACAAACCTTCTTCTCCTTCAGACTGAACACAAACTTTCTGAAAGGAGCTGGCCGTTTATAAATAATTTTTTTTTTAAGTGGACACCACGCCCAGCATGGAGTCCAATGTGGGGCTCGAACTCATGACTCTAAGATTAAGACCTCAGTTGGATGCTTAACTGACTGAGCCACCCAGGTGCCCCATTATTATGAACAATTTAACCAAGAATGACTGGCACTCCAAAGTCCAGAAATATGTAAAGAAAAAAAGTATAAAAAAAGACTGCTGTAACCAAATGAAAAGAATCATGCACTTTTTTCCAACCTGCCTTCTAAGCCTGCTAGTGGGCAATGAAAGAGTAAGACATTTAAATGCTCTAATCCTCTGTCCCCCTTAAAGTCCACATTTTTGGCTTCATGAAAGCAGAGAGGCAACCTTCAGATTTTGCTAAGGCATTAACACTCCCAAGAATTTCCAACAAAGTCTCTCTTTATAATTAGACGCCAACGCAATTTTGCCGCATTTTCAATCTCATCTTTCCAAACTGCTCAACAGCCATTAAAATGGGGTATACGCAGCAAGGGTAAAAAGACTTTTAGAAATAACAACGAAGGATGTTTCAGGGTAGAGTCTTGGACCAGTTTATGGGGAAATGATCTATGAGAAAATGAGAAGCTGAATTTTAAGGCTTAACAACTGAAAGACAAAATCCCAAAAGTGTCATAGCAGGAAAAACCAAACATCAGGAGTCATTTATCAGTTTAAGTCCTGAGGTGGGCTACCCACTGACCCTCAAATGTGGACTAACCGTGGCCCATTTCCGTCTGGGCGTAGGTGCCAATTATCTGGAGTCCTTGGGATGAAAGCAGCCATTTCTCCTGCTGAGCAGTGGTGCCCTGATTCAGCAAGGTAGGAATAAACATGGAGAAATTGAGGCCCACAGGTTCCACAAAATTGACCAAATGTATTCTACAGGAGAGAAAAGAAAAGGATCTCAGCCTTACTCCAGAAACTGCATTCTACCACGCATTCTTGCCAGACAACTATGGCCTTCAGCATTGAGGCTGGGAAAATTTCAACCATTCTCTTAAGAAATTAAATGTGAAATTTACCATTTTCCTACCTAAAAGGCCAAATCCAGTGCTATCCACCCCTTCCCCACCCAAGTCGTTTCATAGCCAGAATTCTTTAATTCTACACTGCAGCCAGGAAGCAAATTCTACCTCAGGTTTTAGCCTAAGAATCCCTTTTGGTTTTTTTGGTTTTGTTGGTGTCATCTGTTGGTTCTATTGTATCTCTGGAGTGGGTGTGTTTGCTTTATTTTCAAGTTTTACTCGTCTTGAAAATCAAAAGGAACTCCATGGAATATATTTATTTGTAGAGCTAGTAACAACAGCTGCTGAAGAAGAGGTTAATCTTTCCCTAGGTAACACCAAAGCAAACATCCAGGATAGTAAATACACATTCCAGGGCCAAACCACAGATCTCTAAAGGTCTTCAGAGTTTGCAGGTGGGTAAACAGAAAGGGGAGAATGTCACACATTTATCTCTGATGGTGTCTGATGTTCACACCAGATTAAGGGAACTCCAATCACACTGAAATTCTGTCTCCAACTATTTTCTCATAAAACACAATCTTGAAATAGTCAAAATACAAACCACCTATACCAGTCAGCCTTGGCTACATTGTGAAAGGTCTTACTGGGGTCTACTTTGTTCTATCTCAATAAAGAGCTCAAAGTACAAAGTAAGGAGCACCTAACTGATCCTCATGACTGCTAGAGGAATGAATACGGAGCAGTGTCACCAGTTTATCGTGGTCTGTCCAGTGAGCAAGGCCTGAATTTAAAAAAAGGAGGCGGAAGGCTGCCAATTCACTTTGAGGCTTGAAGATCACCTTTTAGGGGTGCTGGGGACAGACTGAAACACCTAAGGAATGCTTGCATCCAAGGAATATCAAAAATGCCTTTTTAACCTGGAGGTTCCATAATGTTTACACCAATACTGAATGTCAATTTAAAGTGACTGGAGTTGGGGGGGCGCCTGGGTGGCTCAGTGGGTTAAGCCTCTGCCTTTGGCTCGGGTCATGATCCCGGGGTCCTGGGATCGAGCCCCGCATCAGGCTCTCTGCTCAGCGGGGGGCCTGCCTCCCCCCTCTCTCTCTGCCTGCCTCTCTGCCTACTTGTGATCTCTGTCAAATAAATAAATAAAAATCTTTATTAAAAAAAATAAAGTGACTGGAGGGAGGGAGAGGAAAAAGGGGGGGTGTGAACAGAAGTGAGTCAGCTTCCAAGTGACTTGGGTCAACAGGAGTTGGCGGCTGCTGGACAGTGGAGAAGAAGTGCCCGCCACACCGAAGTGGGGAGTTCAAAGCCTGATGGGGTAGATAAATGCGGACGTCATTCTCTCAAAGGAAAGATCCCCACAGCATTCCCTAACAATTACATTTTACTAAAAGAGGAAATGAACTTACGAGAGTTTCTGAGGAAGAGAAACAGTTGTTTAGGTGCCAAAAATGGGGGCATCATAAGACACTCCTATTCCCTGGAAGGGAAGGGAGGCTGTGGGGTTGGTTATGTGAAATCATGATACCAACACAATATAATTCTAAGAAATTCAGGGGAAAAACACAAAACAAAAACTGTTGAATGTTTATGTTAATAAACATACTGAGATTCTTTTTTTGAGGATACTTGAAAATCAACTCATGAACAAAATATCAGTGCTCATTTTTAAATTATGTTTAATCACTCCTGAAGATGCTTTTCAAGGAATCGGCTTTAAAAACCTAAGGAGGGGGACGCCTGGGTGGCTCAGTTGTTAAGCGTCTGCCTTTAGCTCAGGTCATGATCCTGCGGTCCTGCGGTCCTGGGATCGAGCCCCTGGGGTCTCTGCTTGGCGGGAAGCCTGCTTCTGCTCTCCCACTACCGCTGCTTGTGTTCCCTCTCTAGCCGTCTCTCTATCAAACAAATAAATAAGTCTTAAAAAGAGAAAAATTAAGAAATGAAAAACCTAAGGAGGGTAACAAAAACCATAACTGATCTTCATTAGAATTTTAAATTACTTCAGTTTTCTTTTCATAGGAAACAGGAAAATTAAAAGACAAAATTGTGGGAAAGGAAATTAGGAAAACAATTTTTACATTCCCCAAACAGCAAGGTTTTTTTCACCAAGGCCTGGAGAGAACAATTCTTCTACTGCTCAAGTTGAGAAATCTCAAAAGTATCTTACTAATTTTCCATCAACTTCAAGATATTCCCATATCTTGAAGGGGGGGCACCTGGGTGGCTCAGAGGGTTAAAGCCTCTGCCTTCAGCTCAGGTCATGATCCCAGGGTCCTGGGATCAAGCACCGAATGGGGCTCTCTGCTCAGCAGGGAGCCTGCTTCCTCCTTTCTCTGCCTGCCTCTCTGCCTACTTGTGATCTCTCTGTCAAATAAATAAATAAAATCTTAAAAAAAAAAAAGATATTCCCATATATGAGTTTTGAGATATGAAAAATAATTGTAAAGAAACCAGTAAATGCTTAAGGTGCCTGCATGGCTCAGTCATTAAGCATATGCCTTTGGCTCAGGTATGATCCCAGGGTCCTGGGATTGAGCCCATGTCAGGATCCCTGCTCACTCAGCAGGGGAGTCGGCTTCTCCCTTTCCCACGCCCCCTGCTTGTGTTCCCTCTCTCACCGTGTCTCTCTCCGTCAAATAAATAAATAAAATCTTAAAAAAAAAAAAAAGAAAGAAACCAGTAAATGTTCAAAATCCCTTGAAAGAGAAATACTACTGTATTTCATCAGTTCTGGCAATACGGCACCAACGGAGCATTTACAAAATCAGGCGCATCTCACAAAAAACAGGAGGTCATAGTTAATTGACTTTTTCTTTCTCAGTGATACACGAAACTTGGGTGTGAGCTACAGTCAATGGAGGGCTTGGATTCAACAGCATTTTGTAACTGCCAAGACTCATTTTCAATCCCCTTCTTTCACATAAGTTGATCTCCCTGTCCTATCCTAGAAATACCGGAAGATGTCAAAAGGTGTGTTAAACTTTGTACTCTAGAGCCACCTGGCTCTCTTGGGCTGCCGTCATGCAAGATCCCGGCGTCCTGGAATCAAGCCAGGCCTGGAGCCTGCTTCTCCCTCTCCATCTGTCTGCTGCTTCCCCTACTTCTGCTCTCTCTGTGTCAAATAAGTAAGTAAAATCTTTAAAGAAACAAAACAAAAAAATCCTTTGTACCCTATAATCCCCAAACAGCAAGTTCTGTATCATAAAAAATGACAAGCAAAATAACCGAGTCATGTCATCTGCTGTTTTAACCCACATGAAGGCATAAGCTCTGTTTCATTGTTACTTCACTCCACTCTGCTTACACACTACAAACCAACACTGACTACAGTATCTCATCAATTCTGAAACGCACTGCATCGACCACTTAGAAGTAAAACAGAACAAATCTCTTTTTTTGGGGGGTTGCTTAAAAAAGGGTAAAATCTTACATTTTTGAAGTTTACCTAAAACCCAACTCAGGTGAGTCAGAAACATAATCTTCCAGGAGGCACTCTACCTCAATATCCCCACAGTGAGTTACAAACTTCAAAAGCAAAAAAGGACATTTGGAATTTGATAAATAACTTTGATTCTGACTTCTGAAAGTAAGTAAATCCTAATTTTATGACTAAAAAGGAGAGGAATTCTCAGTCCTAAGGGCTACAGTAAATGATTCCATTCCCCCAAACACTAAATGGATTAGACTGAAAAAATTAGATACTAAATGTCTGAGAAGCAGTAGAATAAAGAAGAAATTTCCATCACTGTATAAAGACAAAACTTGTAATATGTTCCCTTTTTCCTGGCTCTTGAATCATTTGTATCATTTAATCTTTATTGATGAAAATAATGGACTTCTAAAATGCTAAAAGCTCCCCAAAAAAGGAAGTGCCCAGGAATGAATGAGAAGTCTACGACAGCATAGAGGTCAAAGAAATCTTGTACTGGGTCCCGTAATTAGTGCTCACTGGGATAAAGGAAAAAGAAAAAGTGCTTTACTTCTAATTAAGAAACATAACACAACAAAAAACAGATGGTCTGGAAAAAGAAAACTACTACTCTTTCCAGCATTAGTACCAAGGCATGGTTTTAGGAGGTCTCCTATGCCATTTAAGTAACACAAGCCATTTAGATAACACGGCCACCAAATTCAAGAATGCTAGGTTCTTTATATATTCGCTCTGAAGTTTGACTCGTGTTCTTCATCTACCCCACACGGCCCCTCAGTCTAAACTCAAGCTTTATACACTCATACTGAAATGCAATCTGTTATTGCTCCAAAACATTGTTTGGTCTTGCAACCAAAAATCGAACTCCGCCTCTGAATTTAGCAAACCTTCTTGCTACAAAGAGCAAAGGCATTTTGCAATTTAAATCACTCCGTACGGAGTTGTCTACGCCAAAGGAAGTGATACTGATTCCTGGGAACGGAGACGACAGCCTCTCCATTCCCGATCAGCATTCTACCAACGGCTTCAACACAGAAGCCAACCCGGGTTTTCGATCATATCGCTGGCAGGTGGGGTGCAAATACGCAGGCTGAGACGTCCGACGTCGAGCACGATGAAAAAGGACACCGCGGGCTGCGCGTTTAAATGAAGGTTTGCGCTCGGGCACTTAATCGAGGAGAAGGCATACCTACTTTTTAAACCACAGGATCTCCTCGGGGTCCGCGATGCCGAACTCCCGCATCTTCTTCACCATGTTGGCACTCTTCCTAACGGCCACCTCGTAGCGCTGGCTGCGGGTGAGGAAATTCAAGTCCTCGTGCTGGAAGTCCGGGTCATTCAGAATCAGGTTCTCTGGAAGAGGGCGAGAAGGCATCAAAAAGGAAGACCGAGACGCAGGGCTCCGCGACGCCTCCTGGAATCCCTGCGGGTTTTCCGAGCGCGGGCAGGTGGGCCGACACCCCTCAACACGCAACAGGCCGGCCCCGGGGGTGGGGGTCCCGGCTCCCCCAAAGCTGAGGCCGGCGCAGCGGCCCACGCTCCACAGCGCCCCCCGACTCCTCCTCGAGCGAGTGTGGGGCCGCGCCCGGGGAAGGAGGGAGGACTGGCCCGCCGCCCTCACCGATCTCTCGGCGGCGCCGGGTGTTCTCGGGGCTGCCGTCCAGGACGTGCGTGAGCAGCTCCGGGTTGAAGCTGGCGGCTTCCCGCTCCCTGCGAAGATCTTGGTTCATGGTGGCGACACGCAACGGCGGCGGCGGCAAGGGTCGAAGCGGTAGCGGCGGCGGCGGCGGCGACGGGTGTCAGCAGCTGCAGCGCGGGCCCGGCCCTAAGAGCGCCCCAGGACCGGCGAGGCCCCGCCCCGGCCCGCCCCTTCTCCTTCGCCGCGGGTCAGGCGGAGACGGAGACGGAGGCGGAGGCGGAGGCGGCGCCGGCGTGGGCGCGGCGACCGTACCCTGCGGTGGGGCGGGCGAGTCCTCCGCTCTCGTTCCCGGGATCCCTAACAGCAGCCCCCCACCCCGGGAGGCAACCCCGGAAGACCGCCAAGAGATTGCCCCGGGGGCGGGGAGGGAGGCCAGCCGGGCGCCCTGGTAACCCGCCCCTCCTCGTCACGCTACGGCGCGGGGCGGAAACGGGGCTCCCAAAGGCCGCAGCGACGCCCCAACAGGTTCGCGAAGAGGTAGGGAAGGGGCGGGACAAGGCGGCTGAAGAGGAGTGCGCCTGCGCCTTGGGACGCGTGGGTCGCGCGGCTTCCGGGTCCAGGTGCTGAGTCCCAGGGCGGGCGGGTGCGGGTGATGTCAACTTCTGGGCCGCGGGGCGTTGCTGGGGAGGGTTGGCGTAGGGCTTCCCCAGACCCTCCCGGACTGGAGAAAAGAGAGGAGGAGGACAAAAGTCGCCCTGGGAAGAGGCCTCCGGTTATCTCGTGTTAAGATAATCGCCTCCTTGCTGCCAGAAACGCTGGCTTCGGAGAGCTGGGTGTGGGGTGCGGGCCCTCCTCCCCGTGTATGGGGTGGGTGTGGGCCAGAATGGGACCGAGCGGGCAGCTCACACGGCTTGGAATGCAGATTTCGTTGCTTTCACAGTTACCACCGTCGTCAATCAAAGCAGTAGATGTCCAGGTTGAGGAAACCTGGTTTCGGGGAATTTGTAATGAAAAGCAAAAGCTCCCCATCCTCGGAGGCAGCGGCTTTTAACCAGTTGTGTTTTTAATTCCGATTACATAAAATACGTGCTAGCTCTGGATTTTAGTTACTTTTTGAGTTCCTACCACTGTAATGAAGATGAGCTCGTTATGCCATCTCCTTCATCTCCCTGGCTCACCCTTAGAACTTGAAACGGGATAGTCATCCGCTGCTTTTTATTTTTTATTATTTTTTTAAGAATTTATTCATTTGCTTGACAGAGATCACAAGCAGAGAGAGGGGGGAGGGAAGCAGACTCTCCGTGGAGCAGAGAGCCCAACGCGGGGCTCGATCCCAGGACACAGAGACCACGGCCCCAGCCGAAGGCAGAGGCCTAACCCGCTGTGCCACCCAGGCGCCCCATCCACTGCTGTTTAAAACTATGCGCTTCGTCCTTATTTACTGCATCAGTTTTTAGGAACAGTCCTGGGAATAGGGTAAGAGAAATGAGGCACTCACCTTTGGTGTAATTTAAGGGAGCACTAAGCCAAGATCGAAGATAAGATCGTTATTACTGATTTTTCCCGGACTCCGAAGATTTCGGGGCAAGGCACTGTTACTGATTGTTTCTAATGCCCCGCCCCCTGCTCCCCCCCCCCCGCCCACCCCATTAAAATACTGAGTTTGGCTGCTGTGTGTAGATTGTAGGCCTCTTGTGAAAAGCTTGCTCTCCAGGTACCGCCAACACAACATTATAAGACAAAGTGAGGTGGTTGCTACTCAAGTAAGGAAAAACCCTGCCTGGCAAAGCTTTGGCAGTGTCTAGAGCAAGGTAAAGCCAGAATTCATTGAGGGTTGGAAGTTTGGTCTAAGGTATGTCTTTCAGTGCAGGATTGGGTAAGAACCCCATACAACGTTAGAAGATTGTTGGAAACATCAAGGCCGGGGAACTCATAACCTCAGAAGGCAAACTGGCTATTAATGGTCAAACCATTTGCCTGGGCTGGACAGTCAAGAGGAGTAAAACAGACAAAATGCTAATGAAGGCCTGGGACTGCAAAGCCCGGGTAACGGAGGCAGCAAGATGTGGTTTGGGTTCTCTGTGTCCGGGCGGAGGGGGGGGGTAGATGGTTTTCTTCATGAATACATTCATCTATTCAATAAATATTTAATAGGGGCGCCTGGGTGGCTCAGTGCGTTAGGTCCTCTGCCTTCGGCTCAGGTCATGGTCCCAGAGTCCTGGGATCGAGCCCCGCATCGGACTCTCTTCTCAGCAGGGAGCCTGCTTTCCTTCCTCTCTCTCCCTGCCTCTCTGCCTGATTGTGATCTCTGTCTGTCAAATAAATGGGTAAAATCTTAAAATAAATAAATAAATAAATATTTAATAATGCCCAGACATGGTCTTAGGCACAGGGGATACCTGAGGAATAATGCCTTTACGGAGCCGATAATCTGGTGGGAGACAGAGGCATTAAACAAGTAAACAAATCACGCCCTGAAATTCTATTCCTTAGTCAACTACAGTGGGGAAAAGAATCAAGCTAAGGGGACAGAGAGACTGGGAGCAGTGGGGCGTGCTTCTTTAGATAGGGAGAACAGTGAAGGCCTTGCCGAGAAGGAGGAGGATGAGCTGGGCCCTAAATAGGGAAAGAGAACTGGTTATGTGAAGGTCTGGGGAAGACTGCTCCAGTCTGAGGAAAAGCACGTGTGGAGGTCTCGAGGGTGAGGGTGAGCCAGAGGAAGGGTGATGGCAAACGTGAGAGCCGAGACGTAGGCTGGTGCAGACCCCGTGTGGCATTGTGGGCCAACACAGAGACTTTCAATGTTAATAGGAATTTAACATGGGAAGCCTTTAATCGATTTTCAGTGGGGTTTTGTGACCTGATTTACATTTTTAAATATTAATTGTGGAAATATTCAACCATGCACAAAGGTAGAAGGGATAATACAACAAACCCCATCTACTTTTCACCCAGGTCCAATAATTATCCCCTGTACCTCCCCCCATCTCCATGTTAACTTGAAGCAAATCTGATATCATATCCATAAAGACTTCTAGTATGTATCTTTAAACTATTTTTAACACACTCCCAATACCATTATCACAGTTGGAAATTTTAAACATTTCTTGCGGTCATTAAAATCAATACTCAAATGTTTCGTAAAAAACTCCACAGTTAGTTTGTTCAAATCAAGGTCCAAAGTCTACACGTCACAGTCGGTTGATAAGAATCCTAAGCCTCTTTTAATGCATAAGTTTCCACTCTACAATTTTTTTCTTCCACTTATTTGTTGAAAAAGCTAGGTTCAAGCAGCACCTGGGTGGCTCGGGTCATGATCTCGGGGTCGAGGGATTGAGTCCCGAGTCTGGCTCCCTGCTCTTCAGGAAGCCTGCCTCTCCCCTCGCACTCCCCCTGCTTGTGTTCCCTCTCTCGCTGTGTGTCTCTCTCTCAAATAAAGAAATAAAATCTTCAAAAATAAATAAATAAATAAAATTTGTAATGCTTCCCATGTGATAGAATTTTTTTTTTAAAGACTATTTATTTATTTATTTATTTATTTGACAGAGAAACAGAGGGAGAGGGAACACAAGCAGGGGGAGTGGGAGAGGGAGAAACAGGCTTCCCACGGAGCAGGGAGCCTGATGCGTGGCTTGATCCTGGGACCATCATGACCTGACCCGGAGGCAGGCTCTTCCTGACAGAGCCACCAATCCTGCCCCAACCATGTGATAGACTCTTTTGAGGCCAGAGTTCAAATCCTGTGGTGTAACTTGAGTTATAGTGGGTTTTGTTTGGCTTTGTTTTGTTTTAGTTGTAGTGTTGAAGACTCATTGTGAAATATGAACTAACAAAGAATTGTGGCTTTAAAAACATTTATGAGAGGTGCCTGGGGGGCTCAGCCAGTTAAGCATCTGTGTTTGGCTCAGGTCATGATCCCAGGGTCCTGGGATCGAGCCCTTTGTGGGGCTCCCTGCTCAGCGAGGAGCCTGCTTCTCCCTCTTCCTTTCCCCCTCTGATCATGCTTTCTCTCAAATAAATAAAATCTTTAAAAAAAAATAAAATCATTTATCAGTTGCCTCAGGGTTAGTGGCCCGAGCGAGGTGCAGAGACTGGTGTGATCCGAGAGGGAAGGTGCAGGGCCCTTCCCACATGCCTTGCTCAATGCATCTCTTCTATCTGGCTGTTCCTGACTTTCTGTCCTTGTTTTAATACACTGGTAATCTATTCTAATTGTAGAGTAACAAACATACACAATCAAGATTCTTATCTCCAAGAAGGAAACCCAAAGCTAATAAAAGCCATCACAACTTAGGTACAGGTATTACTTTTCTGACCTGTAGTCCTACTACAGAAATCTTAGCAATTGCTTCAGAAAAAAATGAAAAAAGCAGTCACATCGGGTTGCCATCCTTCCCTTCCTTCCTGTACGGTATTTTTCAAATTTCCCAGTTGTTAAAAAGAGAAGACTATGTCGCTTGTTTGTACTGTGGGTTTTTCTCCCAGCAGTGGATGTTTTGTCTTGGGGAATGAAGAGGGCAAAGCTCTACTGTACAGATTATACCATTCCTCAGACTTGCAAAGACAGTACCTAAAACCTAGCTAAGCTGTAAGAAAAGCCAGTCATTTTTTTTTAAGATTTTTAAAAATTTATTTATTTGACAGAGATCACAAGTAGGCAGAGAGGCAGGCAGAGAGAGAGAGGGGGAAGCAGGCTCCCTGCCGAGCAGAGAGCCCGATGCGGGGCCTGATTTTGGGGCCCGATCCCAGGACCTGGAGATCATGACCCCAGCCGAAAGCAGAGGCTTAACCCACTGAGCCACCCAGGTGCCCCGAAAAGCCAGTCTTGATATATCGTTTCAGAAACTCTCTTGCATGTCTGATGATATATGGATAATGATTTACTGAGCCAGCAGGGCTTATGGAAATTAACAGAAATGTCTTAATAAACACACAGCAACTTTTGCTTGGAAAAAAAAAAAAATCAGAGGTGGGGTCCCTGAGTGGCTCAGTGAGTTAAGCCTCTGCTTTCGGCTCGGATCATGATCTCAGGGTCCTGGAATGGAGCCCCGCATCGGGCTCCCTGCTCGGTGGGGAGCCTGCTACTCCCTCTCCCTCTGCCCCTCTCCCCACTCAAGTGCACTCTCTCTCTCAAAAAAATAAATAAAAATTTTAAAAATAAAGAAATAAAAGAATGAATCATATTCTTCATCAGTGATGGGGCACCTGGCCGGTTCAGTCAGAAGATCTCCACGATCAAGACCCAAGCTGAGATCAAGTTGGACACCCGACCAGCTGAGCCACCCAGGCACTCCTTCATTGATTTTTAAATAAACTTTTTATTTTAAAATAGTTTTAGCTTTAGATTTCAGAAAACAAACCTGTAGGGGCATCTGAGTGGTTCAGCCAGTTTAGCATCCAACTCTTGATCTTAGCTTGGGTCTCGATCTTCAGGTCATTGGTTCAGGCCCCACACTGGGCTCTACACTAGGTGTGGAGCCTACTTAAAAAAAAAAAAAAAAAAGAGCACCTGGGTAGCTTGGTGGGTTAAGTGTCTGCCTTCGGCTCAGGTCATGATCCCAGGGTCCTGGATCGAGTCCTACATCCCGCCTGCTTCTCCCTCTGCTTGCCATTCCTCCTGCTTGTGTTCTCATTCTCTCTCTCTCTCTAATACATAAACAAAATCTTTAAAAAAAATATTAAGTGGAGGGGTGCCTGGGTGGCTCAGTGAGTTAAAGCCTCTGTCTTTGGCTCAGGTCATGGTCCCAGGATCCTAGGATTGAGCCCCACATTGGGCTCTCTGCTCAGTAGGGAGTCTGCTTCTCCCTCTCCCTCCATGTGCTCTCTCTCTCTCTCAAATAAATAAATAAATCTTAAAAAAATAAAAATAAAGGTTTACTTATTTATTTGAGAGAGAAAGTACACATATGCATGGGGGTGGGGCTCATGGGGCAGAGGGAGAGAGAAAGTCTCAAGCAGACTCCACGCAGAATGAGGAACCTGACCTGGGGCTCGATCTCATCACCTGAGATCATGACCCAAGCCAAAACCCAAGAGTCCCAAACCCAAAGGCCTGTGCCTCCCAGACACCCCAGATCGTTTTTATATTGTTTTGATTTTTTTAAATTAGTGAATGCATAACTGATCAAAAAAAATTGTTTAGGGGCTCCTGGGTGGCTCAGTGGGTTAAGCCTCTGCCTTTGGCTTGGGTCATGGTCTCAGGGTCCTGGGATCGAGCCCCGAATTTGGCTCTCTGCTCAGCAGGAAGCCTGCTTCCCCGTCTTTCTCTGCCTACTTGTGCTTTCTCTGTCTCTGTCAAATAAATAAATAAAATCTTTTAAAAAATTGTTTAATATTAAACTACCACTCTTAAATATCTTTAAATATATATATGTATTTTTTTTTTAAGATTTTATTTGACAGGCAGAGAGCCACCCAGATGCGCCCTTAAATATCTTTAAATATTAAACTACCACTGGAACTAGCCTTTCAGGTGTCGCTGCTCTCAAGTATTGGCTAATCTCAGCCTGTGGTCTGATTGGTTTTTCAGGAATCTGCAGAAATCAGTCCCAGCTATTTACAATGCTGCCCAAACCTGGGATCTATTACTTCCCCTGGGAAGTCAGTGCTGGCCAAGTTCCTGACGGGGGCACACTGAGAACATTTGGCAGGTGAGAACGTTTTTTTTTTTTTCATCTGGTGTGGGGATATTTCAGTTCCTCCCCCCACATATACCCCAGGCCTGCCAGAAAAAAACAAACAATTAAAATGTTATTTTAAGTTTGTCTATTTGTTTTTTTTTTAAGTTTTACTTTTTCAAGTTATCTCTACACCCAACGTGGGGCTTGACTCACGACCCAAATCAAGAGTCGCATGCACCTCTTACTGAGCCAACGGGGCATCCCCGTCAGCGTATTTTTTAAATGCTAAAACGTGAATTTGTTTTCATTGGAAAAAAGATAGATAGTCCATAAGTGTGAAGAAAGCAAGCAAAAGTACCAGTAATCCCACTCCCTGGCCACTGCTAATCTTTTGGTGATTAATTTAGACACACTCATGTGTATGGATGTACGTGACTGTGTGAATGGGTGTGTGTTCACACCAGGTATGTATCGCATCATCAGGGAAGTGCAAATTCACACCACAGCGGGATACTCATACAGGCCCAGTGGACTGGCTGAATTTGCAAAGACTGTTGAAACCAGAAGCCGATGAGGGTGTGGAGCAGCTGTAAGTCCTCGACCCTCCCCATGGAAATGTAAAATGGCACAACTACTTTAGAAAACAGCCTGCAGTTTCTTTAAAAGCTAAACACATATTTAAGCATGGGGCGCCCGGCACGCTCAGTCAGTAGGACATGTGACTCTCGATCTCAGGGTTGTGATTTCGAGCTGCACGTTGGGTGTAGAGATCACTTTAAAAAAATAAAATCTTTGGGCTCAGTGGGTTAAGCCTTTGCCTTCGGCTCAGGTCATGATCTCAGGGTCCTGGGATAGAGTACCACATCGGGCTCTCTGCTCAGCAGGGAGCCTGCTTCCTCCTCTCTCTCTGCCTGCCTCTCTGCCTACTTGTGATCTCTCTCTGTCAAATAAATAAATAAAATCTTTAAAAAAAATTTTTTTAATTAAAAAAATAAAGTCTTTAAAATAATAATAATAAAATAAAATACAAAGAAATAAATAGAGTCTTAGAAAACAAGAAAGAAAGAAAGGAACCAGGCCAAAAAAAAAAAAAATTACATGTTGTATGGCTCCATTTATATAAAAGTTTAGGAAAAGCCAAAAAAAAAAAAAATTCTAAAGTGGGAAAAAAAAAAAGGCAGGCCAGTTACCTGCAAGGATTGCCTGGGTATGGTGTATTGGAGAATTGTGAAAATGCACTAGGGAAAAATGTGTTCATTATCGATTGTGTGGACAGTTGCTCAAGTGTATGTGGTGTCAAAGTGTGTCCTTTAAATATGTGTGGTCTGCTGTAATTCAGTTATCCCAAGTAAAACCAAAGGGGAAAACCATATGTTACAGAATCTTAAACAGGAGGAGGGCAAAAGACTTGAACAGACACTTAACAAAAGAGAGTCTACATAACATCTAGCAGTCATCCAAAAAGTAAACAATTTTGCATATGACAATTAATGCACATATAGGGGCACACCTGGGTGGCTCAGTTGTTAAGCATCTGCCTTTGGCTCAGGTCTTTATCTCGGGGGTCCTGGGACCGAGCCCCGCATCGGGCTCTCTGCTCAGCGGGAAGCCTGCTTCTCCCTCTCCCACTATCCCTGCTTGTGTTCCTCTCTCACTGTTAAATAAATAAATAAAAATCTTTAAAAATACATATATAAACACACACAAATGATAATAAGCATATGAAAAGATGGTAAACATCGTTAGTCACAGGGAAGCGCAAGTTAAAACCACAACAAGGGCACCCATGGGTTAAGCATCTGCCTTCTGCTCAGCTCATGATCCCAGATTCCTGGAATCGAGCCCCCCTCTTGGCTCCCTGCTCAGCAAGGAGCCTGCCTCTCCCTCTCCCGCTGCCCTCACCCACCCCAGTCTTTCTTCCACGCTCTCTCTCTCAAATAAATTAATAAGATCTTTTAAAAACCAACCAACCAACCAACCAACAGCCACTACGATACAGTATTTTCCTGCCCGCTAGGACACTAGGACAGCTAAAATTAAAAAGACTGACCATACCAAAGTCCTGGCCAGATGTGGAGAGTCACGAGAACCCTCACGTGTTGCTGCTGGGAGTGTAAAGTAGCATACCCGTTTTGAAGAACAGTTTGCCAATTTCTCTTAGAGTTGAACAGACAGGTTGATTGAATGACTTTGCGATCCCACCTGGGTATTTACCTAAGAGAAATGAAAATATATGTCAGCAAAGAGATTGGTCTGCCGAAGTTCATGCTGCTTTATTCATCATAGCCCGACACTGGCAGGAAACCAGACAAGCTGATGAACGGATACACAGACTGTTTTCAGTCATCTCAACAGAATTGCTGCTGAGGGATAGAAGGAGTAAAGCACTGATTTACCCAGCAGTACAGTGACTCTCAAAACCACCATGCTGAGTGAAGGAAGCTTGGCATGAGAGAGGACGTGCTGTTGTGCCCCTATGTACGTGAGGTGCCAGAGTGAGAAAACGAACCCGTAGATCAGCGGTTGCCTGGCGTGGGAGATGGGGAGCTTGAGTAGTGGCACAAGGGAACTTTTGGGGGCGATGGAAATGGGCCACATCTTAATTGGGGTGCTGGTTACACCTGTGTATACTTTTGTCAACACCCCTTAAGCAGGTGCCTTATGGGGCGCCAGGGTGGCTCAGTGGGTTAAAGCCTCTGCCTTCAGCTCGGGTCATGATCCCAGGGTCCTGGGATCTAGCTCACCAGGGAGCCTGCTTCCTCCTTTCTCTGCCTGCCTCTCTGCCTACTGTCAAATAAATAAATAAAATCTTAAAACAAACAAACAAACAAACAGGTGCCTTGTAATGCATGTAATTTCCATCTTCACATTTTAGACTGAAAACAGTTTCTCTGACTTGTTGCCTCCATTTTTATTTCTCTGATCAGAGACCCATGGGTTTGCTAGAGCCCTTTGAGCTTTCCGTGTTTGTGCTGTTTGTGGACAGAACTGATTGATTGCAGTTTCCCTGACCTGCAGGTTGTTCCTCTATGACATGACCCAATCCCGAGTGACCCTGAAAGCTCAGCGCGGATCTGACGAGCACCAGATCCTGGTCTGCACCAAGTTGGTGGAGCCGTTCCAAGCCCAGGTGAACTCCCTGTACCTCGTCCTTGGAGAGCTCGAGCACCAGGGTAAGCCCCTGGCTTCACGTTCCCTTTTCATGCTGGGTCCTGGGTGGGGCAGTCTTCGGTTAGGACTGGGTCTGGCTTCTGACCGTGCAGGAGTCCCTCCCTGGGGTTAGCTTCCCTTCCAGATTGGCCCACAAATTCAAGGACTCATGGAAACAGATGTGATCAGGCTCCGTGGACCACCTCTAGGGGCATGCAAGGGGAGAGAAATCATTAATTTCTAAAGGCCGACCATGTGCCAGGCCTGGTCCTACACCATTGCCTTCAGTCTTTTTTTTTTTTTTTAATACTTTATTTTATTTATTTGACAGAGAGATCACAAGCAGGCAGAGAGGCAGGCAGAGAGAGAGGAAGGGAAGCAGGCTCCGTGCAGAGCAGATGCGGGGCTTGATCCCAGGGCCCTGGGATCATGACCTGAGCCGAAGGCAGAGGCTTTACCCACTGAGCCACCCAGGGTGCCCGCGTTCAGTCATTGTGAATTTGCCGAGCTGGTCTTAAACTGAGTCTTACTGTTGCTCTTCCATAGATGAGAAAAGTTGGGCAAGGAGAGGAGGGGGCTCGGGAGTCAGAGTAAGAGAAACAGAAGGGAAGGAATCCCAGCAACCGGAGGAATCTCTCTGGCATCAAAAGTTGAAGGCTCAGGGCGTCTGGGTGGCTCAGTCGGTTAAGCATCTGCCTTTGGCTCAGGTCATGATCCCAGCATCCTGGGATCGAGTCCCGAGTCGGGCTCCCAGATCAGTGGGGAACCTGCTTCTCCCACTGTGTGCTCTCTCATCTCTCTCTCTCTCACTCTGTCTCTCAATTAAATAAATAACATCTTTAGAGTTGAAAGTTGCAGGGCGCCTACGTGGCACAGTCGTTAAGCGTCTGCGTTCGGCTCAGGTCATGATTCTGGGGTCCTGGGATCCAGCCCCACATCGAGCTCCCTGCTCTTCAAGAAGCCTGCTTCTCCCTCTCCCACTCCCCATGCTTGAGTTCCTCTCTCGCTGTCTCTCTCTCTGTGTCAAATAAATAAATAAAATCTTTTTTTTTTAATGCTGTAGTTAATATCCTCATGCACAGTCTTTGTCCATTTTCTGATTATTTCTTCATGATCGTTTCCTAAAAGTAGAATTGCTCTATAGAAGGATGCAAACATGCCAACTTCCTTTCCAAAAGTCATGGTGGGTTTTTTTTTTTAAGATTTTATTTATTTACTTGACAGAGAGAGACACAGTGAGAGAGGGAATATAAGCAGGGGGAGTGGGAGAGGGAGAAGCAGGTTTCCTACCAAGCAGGGAGTCCGACGAGGGACTTGATCCCAGGACCCCGAGATCGTGACCTGAGCCAAAGACGGACGCTTAACGACTGAGCCACCCAGGAGCCCCAGTCATGATGGTTTTTATTTATATATATATTTAAAGATTTTATTTATTTATTTGACAGAGAGAGAGAGAGAGACAGCAAGAGAGGGAATACAAGTAAGGGGAGTGGAAAGGAGAAGCAGGCTTCCCACTGGGATCATGACCTGAGCTGGCAACAGATGTTTAAAGACTGAGCTACCCAGGCACCCCAGGGGTGATGGTTTTTAACTCTGGATGAAATGTGCTAGAAAAAATGTTATTAGATGGCGCTTACTTTAATTACCTTTGATTCAATAGAAGTGAATCTTTATTTAGGGTTAAGTTCACGGAGTTCCGGCCTTCGTCTTGCCTTGAGAGAGACATCAGGAGTGGGGGTGGGAACAGGTACAGAGGTGGTTTTGCACAAGTGATTTCCATGTTGACTGCGGCCCAGGTCCCTGAGGCTTTCTCCTGTACCCCCAGCCCTCCAGTGCATCCTGGGAGTTCCCAGGAGCCCACCGCCCAGTGTCCGGGATGCTAAGGCCTGACCGCAGACACAGAGAGGGGTTGAAAGTCAGGTGGGGCAGCAGGCCCGGACGGACAAGAACAGGACGCGGAGCGGACAGTTAGAATCCCTTGTGGTGGGGAGAAAAATGGGAAGAAACCTTTGTATGTTCAACACATGTAACTTTTTCTATTGACTGTTCCAGTCAGATGCACACAGAAATAGAGTGGTAGAACCCACAGTCAGCCTGGCTGAGGCTCCGCTGCCTGCATTTACCTATTTATTTTGCTGGGGTCTTTTGGAGCAAATCTGATGTCACTTCATTTCCTCATAAACACGTCCATGCCTCTACCACTACCCATCATACCCAACAAAACAGCTGTCCCTCGACAGAATCGAACACCTTGTCCATGTTTACTCCCTTCTCCTCCATGGCTTCTCAAACTTGGGTCGTTCAGATCACCTCCAAAGTCCATTTGTTGCATTTGGCTAACAAACCCCAAGTCTTTGTACTAGTTCTGGCCTCCCTTTTTTTTTTTTTTTTTAAATGCCATTTATTAGAAAACTTGGGTCTGGAATTGGCTGATTGCTTCCTCCTGGCTACCCTAAACCTTCTTTCCCTTGCCTTTTTCTGAACGGACTGTGGTTCAGGGACAGCTCACATTTGATGAGGAAAAGTTCTTTAGAGAACAATCATAGTGCATAAACGCAGTATATGTCTGAAGTCACCTCTTTAAAAGTCCTGATGAAATAATGAATCCAGGCCACGATGTTATCACTGGCTGCTCCTATCGCTCCATCGCTCCATCTGTCCAGAAAGGGCAGGGCGGCAGGAACGCTGCACAGCAGGGATCTGCCAGCAACACCCGGCCCTGCCCCAAGGCCACGCTGGAGAAGCAGGTGGGTCAGCAGCCACACAGCTGGAGGTCACAGGCAGCAACACCTCCAGGTGACCTTGCCCCCCGCCCCCTCCGCCCCCAACCTGAACCCGAATGATCAAGCCTCAGGTCAGGCAGCATTCTCCCTGGGCTCTGGCTCCTTGCCTGCTTCTTACTATTTTCATCACCATCTATGTGTTTTTTTCTTAAAAAAAAAGCTTTCCCCCTAAATTTCTAATTTCTCAGTAAGACGTGCTCATCATTTGCAGCTGACACACAGAAGGGAAGACAGTGATGGGGATGGGGGCAGAGTGTGGGCTGAGCGTGGGAGGGACGGCTCACCCCCAGCCTGCAGTGTTCTGGCTCGCTGCTCTCACCTGCCATGTGTCCTAGGTCCAGTGTGGGACAAACGTCAACGGGACACAGATCTGTCGGGTGGCAAGGTCAGCAGCTCTGGGGACAGACTAGACGCCACCTAAAGTCACCTTTCTGGGGCATCTGGCTGGCTTAGTTGTAAGAGCATGTGGCTCTTGATCTCGGGGGTTGTGCATTCGAGCCCCACATGGGGTGTAGAGATTACGTAAATAAATAAAACTTAAAAAGAAAAATAAAGGGGCACCTGGGTGGCTCAGTGGGATAAAGCCTCTGCCTTCGGCTCAGGTCATGATCCCAGGGTCCTGGGATCGAGCCCCACATTGGGCTCTCTGCTTGGTGGGGAGCCTGCTTCCCTTTCTCTCTCTCTGCCTGCCTCTCTGCTTGTGATCTGTCTGTCAAAAAAAAAAAAAAGAAAAAAAAATGGCAGGCATTTCTTCACCCTTTTTGGCCTCTCCTCAGCTCACTGTGTGCACAAATTTCAGGAAAGTGGCACTATTTATTTCTCTCTCTCTCTCTTTTTTTTAAGATTTTATTTATTTAATTGACAGCATAAGTAAGCAGAGTGGCAAATAAATAAATTAAAATCTTTAAAAAAATAATGTTTTTCACTCACAGAGAGAGACAATATGTTGCTCAGTATACGGATTGCATTGAGTGTGTAGACGGCTCTAAGTAGCGTCTTCTTCGGGGTCTTTTCTGGTTCCACACAAATGTTAGGATTATTTGTTTCATTTTGGTTTCTCAGTGTAAATCTAGGAGGGAGGGTTTTCCCACGCTGACAGGAGGAAAGAGCTGATAGGCATCATATAAGGAAAGCTCTGTGCAGGGCGCTTGGGTGGCTCAGTCCGTGAAGCATCTGCCTTCAGCTTGGGTCATGATCCCAGAGTCCTGGGACCGAGTCCTGCATCTGGCTTCCTGCTCAACAGGGAGTCTGCTTCTCCCTCTCCCTCTGCTCGTGCTCTCTCTCTCTCAAAATAAATAAAATATTAATTAAATAAATAAATAAATAAAAAGAAAGGAAAGGGAGGGAGGAAGGAAGAAAAAGAGGTCTAGACTAGGAGGAAGGCAAGGCATGACCTATCTAACCAAAGAGCCTGTATCTCAAAAACACATCAAAAGGAAACAGGTTATCCTAGCACATTGAATGTTTGTTGACCTGACCAGAGCATATAAAGAACATGGATGAAAAAAAAAACAAAAAAACAAAAAACAGGCACCTGGGCGGCTCAGTCAGTTGAGCATATGACTCGATCTCAGTTCAGGTCTTGATTTCTGGGTTGTGAGTTGTGGAGCCTGCTTTAAAAAAAACAAAAACACAAACAAACATGTCAGGGCAGGCCCAGTTGTCCTTTCTGCTTGCCATCATCCACTCGCTGACAGGTCTTTCCATCAGGTCAACACAGCATGTGCCAGAAGCACCTCCCAGCCCCTCGTCTGGGGTGGGGTGACTTGGCCCTACAAGGCCAAACTCTCACCTTGGATTTACTAATTATGCGGTTCTCTTTGCCCCTATTTCCAATGCCAGTGGGGCCCAGTATGCCAAGGGGACCCTTCCCTTAGTACAAATGGAGAAGTGGGATGGTGCACTCGAGGCAGGGAAGGTGACAAAGGAATTAAGATGACAAAGGACAGTGGTCGAGGGGACAGCTGTCCGGCCCTTCCTCCGTGGAGAAGTGGGATTTGCGGGCTGTCCCCTAAGTTCCAGACACATGCAATAGTGTACAACAGGCCCACTGTTCTGAGGCCCAAGTAGAGAAAAATTACCAGTATCCCGGATGCCATCCTTCCAGCTCATCCTGAGAGCAAGTCCGGGGGAAGCAGCTGGAATGCATCCGTGGTGTTGCTGACACGGGGGGTCAGTCCCTGCTAGTGCCTTGTGCTTGTGTCTTTCAGATGGAGGGTCCGTGGTGAAGGCCCGGGTGCTGACTTGTGTGGAAGGAATGAATGTACCCTTGTTAGAGCAAGCTGTCCAGGAGCAGAGGCGGTACCAGCAAGAGAGGGACAGCAGCCAGTAGCAAATTGCACTTCCTGGCAACCGTCCCCCCCAGTCTGCTCCTGAGACCAAGCCCACCAGAGATGCCTGAGCAGAGAAGATGCAGACCTTCCCCAGAGTGATAGCCCTTTTCTGGAGCCTGAGAGAAGAGGAGGGGTTGCTTATTTGGATTGTTCCAGACACACACACACACACACACACACACACGCGCGCGCGCGCGCGCGCGGGGCCAGGAGCCTGTGGGAGGCTGAGCTGTGGGGTGCTGGGGGCTGAGGCTCAAGGGGGCATATGGAGGATTCTGGAAGGTACTCATGAATAAAGGCCCCAGTGGGGGAGACCTTGCATTGTGTGCATGTGGTGCAGCGCCGGCGGGGGCCAGGAGGGGGAGCCGTGGAGCAGGCAGCCTGCCCGCAGTGAGGCCCCTGGAGCACAGGGTTTCTGGTGAATTCTGGGCGGGGGTTTGTGGGAGGGGTGCTAGGGCCCCCTGTGGGCCCTGGGGGTGGGCTCAAGATGCAGGGGGGCTGCCCCCACTGAAGTTCTGCCCTCAGAGGAGGCCGGGCTATCCCATAAGGTTGGGGCATGACCCCTCAGCCTGGCCGTGCGGCCTAGGGGAGGGCTGTGGCTCTAGAAACCCTTCCTGACCCCTGACCTCTGTCCCGGGGCTGACTCCAGCCCCCCAGGCCATCCTTCTGGGAAGCCTTGGCCCCCAGAGGTTAAGCCTGGTGGGGCCCAAGGGAGGGGCCCTGCTGAGAAGTTTGGGCCCTCCTGCGCCCCGTAGCCAGGCGCTTTCCTGCCTGGGCTGGGGGAGGCCTGGGCTGGGCTGGTTCCTGGGGATTGGGGGTGGGGCAGGGGGAGCCTGGGCCCGGGTGGGGGCTGGGCAGGGTGTTCTGTGGGGGCCGGAGGGGCAGCAGGGGTGCTGGGTGTGGCGGTGAATGCCCCAGGCGCCCTCTGTTTCCTGGGCAGCTCTGCGGCTATGGATGTGTTCCAGAAAGTAGAGAAGATCGGAGAGGGCACCTATGGGGTGGTGTATAAGGCCAAGAATAAGGAGACCGGGCAGCTTGTGGCCCTCAAGAAGATCAGGCTGGATCTGTGAGTGCCGCCGCGGCCCCTGAGACGCAAGACCCCTCCCGCTGGGGGGCGACCCCTGTCCCTCACCTCAGGGCCTTACACTCAGCTCCGCGTCTGCACGTGCGGGTGGGGGCGGTGGAGGGTGGAGGGGACATGGGGGGACGGTGTGGGGGGGGACACGGGGGCAGCCTTCGCCGTCCTCCTCCTGGCCACGCCTTACCCAGGGTCCCCGGTGGTGTGAGGACGTGCTGAGGGGCCCAGGGCCCTCTTGCTGGGGGCCAGGCCCTTCTTTCGGAACACGGAACACACGGGGACTCCCTCGGGGCAGAAGCCTCCACTGCCGTCCCCTCCTTTCCCGCAGGGAAACGGAGGGAGTCCCAAGCACGGCCATCAGGGAGATCTCCCTGCTCAAAGAGCTCAAGCACCCCAACATCGTCAGGTGAGGTGGGCAAGGAGGTGGGGAGGCCGGGTCCGCCAGGGGGGCCGCATAGTGACTGGTGTCCCCCACTGGTGTCCAGGCTGCTGGACGTGGTGCACAGTGAGAAGAAGCTTTACCTGGTGTTTGAGTTCCTCAGCCAGGACCTGAAGAAGTACATGGACTCCGCCCCAGCCTCCGAGCTGCCGCTGCGCTCGGTCAAGGTAGCGAGGGGAGGCGGGTGGGAGGCCCGGAACGCTGCGCCCAGCCAGCCCGGCTTCCGCTCACCGCCTCCCCGCTCCGCTCGCTCTCGCTCGGGCAGAGCTACCTCTTCCAGCTGCTGCAGGGCGTGAATTTCTGCCACTCGCATCGGGTCATCCACCGAGACCTGAAGCCCCAGAATCTGCTCATCAATGAGTTGGGTGCCATCAAGCTGGCCGACTTCGGACTGGCTCGAGCCTTTGGGGTGCCCCTACGCACCTACACCCACGAGGTACTGCCGCACGGGCGGGAGGAGGAGGCCAGCTGAAGGGGCGTCACCGGGGCACTCGGCCGCCCACTGGCGCTGCTTTCTCACCCCCACAGGTGGTGACCCTCTGGTATCGTGCCCCCGAGATCCTCTTGGGCAGCAAGTTCTACTCCACAGCCGTGGATGTCTGGAGTATCGGCTGCATCTTTGCTGAGATGGTAGAGGGAGGGACAGATGTGGCCACAGGGAAGCCTGCTGGGGTAGGGCTGGGACTCCCATTCTCCTGTGAGAGGTGGCCTCCGGTGTTTGGGACTAGCTGCGTGACTAAGGAAGCAAACTGTATTCCAGAAAAAAGCCGGGGTTCTTAGCACAGCCCTGGGAAGCATATCTTATCTGGGGTTGGATTCTGTAGGATTAGAGGGGGGACCGGACCCCACACCTCCTCTTCCTCATTTCAGGTGACCCGCAGAGCCCTGTTTCCTGGTGACTCTGAGATTGACCAGCTCTTCCGAATCTTTCGGACCCTGGGGACACCCAGTGAAGCCGTGTGGCCAGGGGTCACCCAGCTGCCCGACTATAAGGGCAGCTTCCCCAAGTGGACCAGGAAGGGGCTGGAGGAGATCGTGCCCAGTCTGGAACCAGAGGGCAAGGACCTGCTCATGGTAGGTCCAGGAGGGAGGCAGGGGAGGGCAAGAACGGCCGCTGCGCCGCCAGAAGTGTCTCTGTCAGCCAGCCCCGTGTCGCCTCCGGGCCCCCTGAGTCCAGCGGGCCTCTTTTCTGACCCTGAACATAGCCGGTTTGTCCCTGTCCCTCAATCGTTCAACCCGGAGGCTCCTTCCTGGATAAGTCCAGCATTCAGGTGCCATTTTAAAACATCTTTCTTCTGATTAGCTTTGTTTTTATGCTCTGATACTTGTCCCCCACCTTTTTAAAAATTTTTTAATTTTAATTTTTATTTTTTTTTAAGATTTTATTTATTTATTTGACAGAGATCATAAGTAAGCAGAAAGGCAGGCAGAGAGAGGGGTGGGGGGAAGCAGGCTCCCTACTGAGCAGAGAGCCCGATGTGGGGCTCGATCCCAGGACCCTGGGACCATGACCTGAGCCGAAGGCAGAGGCTTTAACCCACCGAGCCACCCAGGCACCCCCACTTTTTTTTTTTTTTTAGATTTTATTTATTTATTTGAGAGAGAGAGAGAAAGCAGTGGGGAGAGGGAGTAGCAGGCTCCCAGATGAGCAGAGAGCCCAACACAAGGCTCGATCCCAGGACCATGGGATTGTGACCAGAGCCAAAGGCAGACACTCAACTGAGTCACCCAGGTGCCTGATACTTACCCTTTTTCTGTGAGCTTCTGCCAGCGGGGAGCACGCCTCTTCGCAGTCGCTGCTCTTCCCGTGAGGCTGTTTCCTGATGTCTGGGCCCCTGCCACTGTCCGAGCTACCCTATGCTGTTGCACCATCCTGACTGACTGGGCTGGCCCAGGCCAGACTACCCAGAAGGCCTCAGGCAGAGCTGTCCATTGCCCACAAAGACTTGGGACCACGTCTGTCTCTTTAATCTGGTGTTGGGCCAGAAGAAGGCAGGGCAGTATTTTCATCTTTCCAGGGGTGTGTGTCTCAGCCCAGTGCCAGCAGGAAGGCGTATGCCTCCAGCCCAGGCTCTTAGCGCTCCATCCGCCTACCCCCGGGCAAGGGGTCCTTCCACAGCCTAGCTGGGGCTTAGAGTTCCTAATATGCTCCCGAGACAGGTTTCACCCTCTCCTTCCTGGTACCTGGAGAGAAGTCTGTCTCCACCAGAAGCAGGCACAGAGGCCAGGGAACCCCAGGTGGGAAGAAGACGGACGGGCTCAGCCTCTAGTCGTACAGAGCCAGGGATGACTTCCCGGGTCGGCCTAGAACTAGTTCCTTGTCCCCGGATCCCGGGAGTGGCCAGAACTGGCGGGCGAACCTAGAGGCCGTGGTTAAACGCAGTTCTAGTTTGAAGGCAGCTGCTCTGGGGCTTGGGGCCCGCCACCTGGGGCCTGGAGGGCATCTCCTTTCCCGGCCTGGCCACCCCACGGCTCAGTCTTTCCTCTTCCTCCTTCCTCCACAGCAACTCTTGCAGTACGACCCCAGCCGGCGGATCTCAGCCAAGGCCGCCCTTGTGCATCCATACTTCTCGTCCACGGGGACCCCCCCGGCACCCCACCAGTGCGTGCTGGAGCGGTTCTGCCGCTGAGAAGGCCCGAGCCTCCCAGCCTCTCTCCAGCCGCTGCCCCTGCTGCCTCCCCACCCACTGCCCCTGAAAGAGAACAGCAAAGCTCTGAGTTTGGCCTAGGCCGCCAGAGGGCTGAGTTTGAGTTAGTTCTGCCCACAGGTTAGCAAGTTCCCGTGTTGTTGGTTGGTTTGACGTTGCCGTTTCCAGATGGGGGCACGGAAGCTCCGTGTACCGGGGGGACAGGGATCGTTAGAGACTGTGTCCCTGGGCTCTGGAACAACAGATGCCCGGGTGAGCGTGAAGCCCGCCCCACCCGGCAGCAAGATGGAGCCAGACCCGCCCCGCCCCGCCCCTGCCCCAGCGAAAGGGTGCCCCCTGCTGGTCATTATGGCTTTAAAATGTTTTGGGGGGAAGAGTTGCATGCCAGGGAAGAAAGCAAGTTAAACAGGAAGCGGGGCAAGGGAGAGAGGACATTTTCCCCATCGCGGCGTGGGTGAGGGTGTGCGTGCCGGTTCTGAGTAGTCGTCTTGTATTTAGCATATACTTACGTTCGTTTGCCTCTGGTTTTAAGAACAGGAAATAAAAGTGATGTATTCCTGAGTTTTCCAGTGTTTTTCTTCTCAAGGGGTAACCAGGGACTTGCTGACAAGGGGGAGGTAGACAGGGGGCTGGAAAGCATTCCTGGCCCGAACCGAGAGACCCAGAACAGAGGTGATGGGGAGAGGCTGTTCATGATCGTCCCATGACCTGGCAACATGCTCTCCCGCAAGCACCTGTTCCCTTGGCAGGACTGGTTGGCGTGCCCACATCCCACCTGGGAAGGACCCCGAGCCATCTGTCCCTTGTGCTCGTGGCTCAGACAAATCAACTCTGCATTCCCAAATGTGAACTAGACGCTGGGAGAATTCGTTTATTGGAAGCACTGGGTAGGGGGGTGGGTAGGGACAACAGCTGTGCTGATCCCGGGGTCTGGGGATGGACTGGCCATCAGAGTTAGGGAAGGGGGCCCAACACCACAAATTTTTGAGTAATAGCACCGCGATCAGACAGAGGGAAGGCCCGCCCCCTCGGGTTGGGCTACTCTAGGGTAAGGGGTGCCTGCGTCCCCCTCCCCACCGCTCGCGCTCCCCACGACTGCTTGGGCCCCTCAGCGCCGACAGCGCAGCAGCCGGGGCGAGGCGGGGCGGTAGCAGTGGTACCCCTCCAGCGTGGCGGGGAGCAGCAGCAGGCCGCTCAGGTGGTCTCTCCGGCAGCGCCCCATGGCCTCCTTGTAGCTTATGCGCTCCTTGGAGATGGGGTCTGTCAAATCCTTCTCGTAGTTGGCCTCCTCCCGCAGGAGCTGGGCCAGCTCTTCGCTGATCATTCCGGAGAGCACGGCCTGGGGGACAGGGATGCGGCCGGTCCTCTTGGGGTCGATGAGCCCCCCGGTCAGGTGCTGCGCCTGCAGGTGCGGGAGTACGCTCTCCTGCGGCATCCAGCCCTTCTGGATGGCCTCGCCCACCGACAGCCTCTTCTTGGTGACAGGATCCTCAATGCCAGTGAAGGCCTTCTGGGCGTTGAGCAGCCTCTGCGTAGAGGAGTTCTCGATCAGCCCCCTCTCCATAGCCTTGTGCACGGAGTAGCGCTCCCGGCTGAGGAGGTCCACGATGCCCCCGGTGGCCGCCTGGGCCTCCAGCAGCTTCTGCCCGGTGATGGGGTCCAGCATGTTCTTGGCCACGGCCGTCTTGATGGTGCATTTGTTGTCTGTGGTTGTGTCATAGATGCCGGCGATGGGGAAGCTGTCATCGGCAAGCCCGAGTGAGACGCTGGGAGAGAAGAAGCCGGGGCCCTGGGGGGCTGGGGAGGCGAGCGGGGACTTGGAGATGATGGAGCCAATGGAGAGAGAGGAGCAGGGCTTAGTCTCCCCGGCCACGAGCAGCGCGAACTCGGAGATCGGGAGGTGGCCGTCCTTGTAGAGATGGTACTCCTCCTTGGAGATGCGCCGGCAGCGCAGGGCGGCCTCGATGGAGTACTGCTTCCCGCTCTTGCGGTCCAGGAGCACGGACTCCTCGCCACAGGGGCCCGAGGTGGTGACCTCCTCCCAGTCGCACTCGAGCTCCTGGAGCTGGAGATACTGGCCTCGGTCGATGACGCCCCTCTTGTAGGCCTCATACGGGGACATGTCCTTGCCGGTCTCAGGTTCGAGGATGGAGATCTTGGTGGAAAGGTTGGTCTCCCGCGTCTGGGTCTCCTGGTTGAGCTCCTCCCTGCTCACCTTGGCGTGGAGGTCCCGGAGGGTCCTCTCCTTCTCGTAGATCTGGTCCTTCTCACAGAGGATGGCCGCCTCGAGCTGCGAGAGCTCCTGGCCCCGCTGGGCGGCCTTCTGGCGCTCGCTCTCGGTCTTCTGGTTCAGCAGCTCCGCCTCCTCCTGCAGCTGCAGCACTTTCTGCTGCTTCTGCCTCTCCAGCTCCCGCAGCTCCTGCCGCAGCTGCCGGCGCTCCTGGTCTGCCTGGTCCCGGGCCTTGTGGAGCTCGGCCTCCTCCCGGGCCCAGGTCCGCCCCAGCGCCTCCGCCCGGTCCAGCCGCTCCCGGAGGTGCCGCACGTCCTCCTCCCGGCTCTGGCGAGCCGCGCGCTCCCTGTTGAGCGCCTCCCATGCCCGGGACCGCTCGCCCTCCAGCACCCGGTCCTTCTCCACCCTGATCACCTCCTTGTAGATGGTCTTCTCTTGCGACTTGGTGGCCTGGAGGACGTCGATCTGGACCTGCAGGTTCTTGCACTCCCGGTGCAGCTCTGTTACCTGCGTCTTCTCCTGGTCCAGGTCCTGCCGCAGGGCCTCCACGGACTTCTCCAAAGCTGGGTCCTTCTCCAGCTTGACCACCTCCTCCATGATGATCTTCTCTTGCACCACAGGAGGCCGCTTCTCGAGCTCCTGGATCCTGAGGGTCAGCTGCCGCAGCTCCCTCTCGGCGGCCAGCTTCTTGCTCCGGTCCTCGCGGAAGCTGAGGAGGCTCTCCTGCTCCTGCACGGCCGCCCGCAGCTGCTGCACCTCGCGCTCCAGCTGCCGCCGCCGGCCCGCCTCCTCGTCCAGGCTGCGGCTCAGCCGGCTGTGGTCCTCACGGAGCTTGGGGTCCTTCTGGGTGACCACCACCTCCTGCACCACCACCTTCTCCTCGGGCCGCCTCCTTTCCAGCAGCAGGTACCTGTTCTGCAGCTCGTGGACGGCGTCCTCGGCCGCCCGCCGCTTCTGGGCGGCTTCTCGCACCTCCTGGCGCAGCCGCTCGGCCTCCTTCTCCAGGACCGGGTCTTTCTCGTGGCGCACCACCTCCTTGTTCACCGTCTTGGTCTCCACCTTGGACCTCTCCCGCCTCCACTCGTCGCGCTCCCCCTGCAGCCGGATGAGCTGCTCCCGGGCCCGCCCGCTGCTGTTGACGAGCTCGTTGAGCTGGGCCTTCAGGCGGTCGATCTCCCGCAGCACCTCGGGGCTCCGCTCGTGCTTCACCACCTCCCGGGTCACCTCCTTGTACTCCACGGTAGGCTTCTGGGCCCGGAGCGTGGCCAGGTCGGGCAGCAGCCCCTCCACCTCCTGCTCGGCGCGGCTCCTCCTGCCCGCCGTCTCCTGCAGCTGCGCCCGGAGCCTCGCCATCTCCCGCTGCGTCTCGGGGGCCACCTGGAAGGTCTCGTGCACGCGCTCCTGGAGCCGCACCTTGGGCTTCTGCTTCTCCAACGCGCTGCACTTGGCGCGCAGGTCCTCCAGCTCCCGCTCCAGCGCCGTATCCCTGCCCCGGGCCTCCTTTAGGAGGCGCCTCAGCCTGGACGCCTCTTCCAGAAGGCCCGGGTCCTGCTCCACCGTCTTCACCTCCTTCACGATCACCTTGGGCTCCACGGCGCCGATGGCGCGCTCTAGTTCCCCAATGCGAGCCTGCAGCTGGGCCGCCGCCTCAGCCGCCGCCTTCCTCCGCCCCGCGTCCTCCTCCACCTGCCGCCTCAGGGCCTGGGCCGCCTTGAGCGTTTCTAGGTCCTTCTCCACCTTGACCACTTCTTTCACCACAACCTTCTCCTTCACATTCGGCGCCTTCTGCTCCAGGGCCAGCAGCTCCTTCTTCAGCGCCTCTAGCCGGGCCGAGACGGCGGCATTCTCCCCGCGCAGGTGCTGGATCTCGCCGCTGAGCTGGGCCGCCTGGCTCTCCAGACCGGGGTCCCTCTCGATCTGGGTGACCTCCTTGGTCAGCAGGTGAGGCTGCATGGCCCTCCTCTTGCTCTCCAGCTGGACGACCTTCTGGGCCACCGCCTCCAGGTCTGCCTGCAGGCCGGCCCGCTTCTTGCCTTCATCCTCCAGCTGGGACCGAGCCCTGGACAGGCTGCTCTCCAGCTGGGGGTCCCGGTAGAACTCCACCACCTCCTTCTCTTCCAGCCTCTCCACGGGCCGCTGTGTCCTCAGCTGCAGCAGCTGGTCCCTCTGCTCCTGCAGCTGCTGCTGCACCTGGGCCACCAGCTTCCTCTCCTCCTCCAGCTGCGACTTCAGGGCCTCTGACTCCCTCCCTGCTCGGGCTGGGCCCGAAGACCCCTGCTGTGCGCCATGGGTCACCTGGATATCCTCACTGAGCTCCTTCTGCAGAGTGAGAGGAAGAAGGGAAGATGGGGGGAGGATGAGCCCCATTTCCACCAGCCCCACCCCACCCTGAGATCAGAGACCCCTCCCTGCTTCCGGAGACTTCCGGTAGGTCCCGGGGGCTGGAGCTGCAGACCCGAGGTGTTTGGATGCAGGATTGAGAGGACCCCTCAGGCCCACGACATTAGGATGCAAGGCAGTGTCTGGGCAGAGTTTGCACTAGAACGTGCAAACAGGACAGGTCACCTTTCCAGACATTCTCCCCTCTCCTTCCATCTAGGCTCCCGGACATGGGCCCATGCTCCTCTGGGGGAATGCTGGGGTGCTCCTCTGGGTAGAAGAAAGCTGGCAAGTCCCTCAGCCAGACTTGGAGAGTCATAGAGGGCTTCTGTCTCCTGGTCCCCCAGGCATGGAGACCTAGGTGGCCATTGTGGCCAGTTCTACCTAAGGCTGAAGACGTGGGGATTTTCTCCTGTCCCCACCAGTGGACTGCCCAGTGGTGAAGCTGTGACCGCCCTGAATGACCTCTCCAGGGCCTGACTCTGCGATGGATGCCAGCCTGGAAGATACCAGCTGCTGGGATGATGGGAGGAGGTGGGGAGCTGCTTCCCCTGTCCCCACCCCCACCCCCAGCCGCTCAGACCCTG